CAGAGAAGACTTCGCAAATTTTGGCAATGGGGGGTTTTGTGGAAAACCTAATTCCGCACCCATGCATTCAAGACGCTGGGTTCGAGGCCGTAGACACCCTAAAACGGGAGAGAGAGAGAGAGAGAGTGTGTGTGTGTGCGTGTGTAATGCGTGATTGTGGGCGGTTCGGAAGAAAAATCAGGGTTGACTTCAAAACCGTGTAGCCAATAGTATCTGTTTCGAGTCTACGGGATGACTTCACTTCATCTGCACTAGCTTTGAAGCATCTTTCTCGCTAGTGGGCTCGGGGTTGCTCAGATTTTACGGCTTGTAGGATTTCGTGTCCCGTGCGTGCCAAAGACTCACCCGGACTGCCCACGAAGCCAAGCCCCTGCGCTTACTTTGGCCTTGACCCCCAAACCACAAGGCAAGCCGCACCCTTTTGTGAACCCGTGCTCTCTTTCATGAGCCCTAAGCCTAAGCCTAAACCCATCCCAAAGCAAGAACGTTAAGCAATGCAGCTGCGCCTTTCTCTCCAAGCACCTCTCGGGTCCTGTAAGGCGAGCACGGAATTATGGCCTTTCGGGCTTAGGGCTACGAGCCCTAATGTTGAAGAAGGGTTGTACAAGAGTTCTGTAGGGATTTGTCAGAGAGAATTATAAGTGCCCTGACAATAGGAATAAGGTTTGGGGGTACGTCTAAGATACCATGACAGTCGCAGTCTCCATTACAAGTTACATCAAGTAGCTACAAAGTGCAAATGACTCAGGCTCCTCTTATCAGTCCGTCAAAACCCTTTTTGCATCCGGGCTTGGGAAGCCGGCCGGGGAAAGTGAGAGACACAACAGCATCGGACTAATTGGCCTCCTGAGTGGGGGTGCGGCCCCTTTGGAGAATGTGGCGCGTAGTTTTTGCACCACGGAAGTGTCAGGATTTGGGATTTGTTTGACGATTTAGGGTTTAGGTTACCATACCAATACCAAGTATATAGGGACAACTAGGGCTCATGCTCGACGGGTCCATTACCTGGAGGGTCGGGAGACCTAGGTAGTAAGTAGACTTATAAGTACCCTAAAAGGGACCCTAATTGGGGTTATGGTACTTATAAGCCCCTAAAATGACCAAAGTACTAAGTCCCCCGACCCTCCAAGTACCACACCCTCAGGGTTCCAGAGTCCCAACTGAGACTCAGAAGCACTTCTTTAAGGTTTGCCGTGTAGATGGCCTCTCCCATGTTGATCGGTTGGGCATCGTTGCAAGCTCACGTTAGGACAACTGCCGCAAATTGCCGCAAGATAGAAATGCATAGGAGGGTTTGGGCCTTTAGGCCCAAATTTAGGTAGTCTCTTGGCCAGCAAGTACGTATCGGACAGCACGATTGATAGTTCCCTCGAGACGAGCTCTGCAACATGGATCTTTATGACCCTGAAACTTAAAACCCTCCTCATCTCAAGCCCCAGGACCCTGAACAACTCAGCCCAATACCCCGTGACTAAGGCTAAGGACTGCCCCTTGGACCATACGCACACATTTAAGCATACATAAATAAAGAAAGAGAGTGAGAGAGAGAGAGAGAGAGATATGTATACATATATATATATACACGCACACGCACATACATTTTATGTTAGATATAGAGAGCTCTGACTTTACAAATTCATGAGGAACTCTCGGCTCAGAGGCAGCCAGCAAGCATCTCCTCGTTGCGCGGATGATGATCTCGGTTCGGATCGGGGTGACACGCACCTCAATGCAATCTGCGGAATAATTGGAGACTTTGTAAGATGCATGTTTTCGTCAAAGTGACGAGAAATATGCGCGTTTCAGGTGTGGGCCCTGTTTTCGTATCGGAGATGATGAACCACAAAACCTACATTCTTTCCTGCCGAAGCTCCATCATGCTGGGAGTACTAATTATGCATACTGTGACATCATCTGTCACGAGGAGGAGGTGGAGGAGGAGGAGGAGGGGCAACTGTAGTGCAACAAGGTTCCATCAGCCATGACTGTCTGAGACCGAACTGACATCCTGTCGCCACATCGAGTTGCGCAAGAGCAACAAAGAACGACCATCCCATCTACAAACAGGACCCATTATGGCCAAGGCTCTGAAGCAATGCCGGCCGAGCCCGAATGGCAGTCAAAAGTGGCGTCACGGGTCACAAGTTCCCTATATAGGTTATAATTATTATGATTACTTACCATGCATATAACCCCACTTATAACTACCCATGAACCTCCAAGTTTACAGAGGGGTCCTTGACACATACAAATCCTCAGCTTCCCTTCGTAGCTCTGCTAGCCTGCGCCACAATCATACGAAGAAACGCACCTAGTCTGAGCCCGCCAAACTGCCTTGAAGTAGTACCTTTGCTTTGACAGCCTTATACTTGCTATTACTAGCCCTGACATGTGGATGGAGCTTTAGCATGGCGGCGTCTTACATGAAGTCCCCCACTCGCGGGCCTCGACTCCAGCATATCCATCTTCACCTTGTGGAATCGACGAGTCGGGCTTTTGCTTCAGTTTTTTCCTACTTGTCGGGTATCATGGGGAACTAAAGGTTAACCTGCTTGGTTATGTAGGGGTTATATAGGGACCATACTACCCAAAAAAGGTTAGAGGTTACCTACTCTACTACTAGGTTTTTCCTGCTGCCCCCCACCTAGATTTCTGTGCTTGTGGGGCTAATGCTCTTAGATTCAGGGGCAGACACTAGAGCTTCGGAGGTTGGGTTCAAATAATGGCGGGGCCTTAACAAGTAGACTAGGGTTCTGGGGCCCATCATACTATCATTGTAACAAGGAGCCAAAAAAAGTATAGGTAATTTTTCAGGCCCCTATACTATGCTTGTTTGTTTAAGCCTGGGGTTGAAAGGTAGCGGGTTTTGAAAGCAAGATTTCTTCGGAATGCAGGGTCTTACGCATGAGTGCGCTGCCAGAGGGGGCGAGGCTGGTCTGAACAGCAGCCAGTAGCCACAAACCCGAGAATCCCCGAGGAGACGGGAAGTGGAACCTGCAGAAAGCTGAATCGAGCTTTCTACTTGGAGGGGCAGGGACCTAGTAAGTAGGTTATAAGTAGAGTTATAGGTACCTTAAAAGGAGTTACGCCAATTATAACCCTACTTACTAAGTCCCCTGCCCTTCCAAGTAGGGTTTAGGGTGTAGGGTTTAGGGGTTTACAGGGTATTCGCTGTCGGATTTTGGGCTTTTGGTCTTTGTGCTTTAAACCAGACTTGGAGATGCCAGGCCACCCAGGGTGCGTGCCAAGAACTCGTTCAGCTCTGCATTGAAGACGCCATCCGCTACGAACTTCCTTTTTTTGGACACCTCTGCAGGCCCGGAAACCTCCCCGTATATTAATAGAGAACACTTAAAGAACTGTAGCCTTCATACACCCTGCAGAGAACTAATATCTGACATACCTGAAAGTACCTAAAACGTAGGATCAAGCAAACTGTGATGCTGTGAGCTCTGAACTAGTCATGCTTGTTTCTGATCTACAGCGCAGTGGTTCTCGTCAGTGTTTCGATTGAATGGTCGCAGCTGCTCATCCCAGTGGTTGTGCCCCATTCTGCTTCCGCGACACATTGAAATCCATCTCTCGATGCGATTTGCTCCAAAGTTGGAATCAGCAGTGCAGCAGTGCAGCAGTGGCTGCTTCATGAGTGCGGGAGCCCTGAAGGTTAACCCTGAGCCCTTGCCTGGGCCGAGCTCATGGCGTCACTTTCGCGATTGGGGCTGGGGTGGGGTGGACTCGAGCACAAAACCTGCGGTGTTATGCGCAAGAAGACGTGCCCGAGGAAAAAGGCGCCAGGAGGCCCGAAATCCCACCTGGACATAACAAATCCCTGATGTACGGTTTGGCCCAGATGAAACCTTGACGTTAGTTCGAGATTCTAGCAAGAACCTACTCCACTTAGCTTTGGTAGCTTGAGGTAGGCCCTACATGTGGGAGTTTCCGAAAATAGGAGACCCCAATATAGTACCCTAAGTAGCAGGTCTCTTATTATAGGGACCCCAAAATAAGGTACCCCTAATTTTCGGAAACTCCCATGTGATTTAAAACAACAGAGCTCCCCTGCAAATCTCAGATCCGGGCTGGGTCACGGCCTCACGCTGCGAACCTACCAGCCGAGCTTTCGACAATATGGAGGTTGGGCTCTTCAGAACTTTAGGTTTGAGAGTTTCGTGTCTCGGTGTTTCGGGAGTTTTGGGGTGTGGGTTTCGGGTTGAAGGGTTTGCGTGTTTTGGCGGGTTTAGGGAGCTGGGTTCTGGGTTCGTGATTTAAGAATCCAGTCTGAGGGTTCTAAAGCCGGCCCCATGTCATGCCATGAACAAGCAACCTCGCGCTGCGCTGAAGACATGGTAACTGTCTATACATATACCTGTGAACCCGAACGCCTGGTAATTAATGGGAGGTTGTGGGAACGCTCACGATTTGGGCAAACGCCTGTTTCTTGTATTGCGGGGCAGCGTGTCTGAAAGGGCATCTCGTTGCAGGGCTGTGTCCCTGAAGCCTCATTTTGGGGCTCATGTAAGTTGCTTTGAGGTTGCCACATGTAGGCCATATGATGCCAATCGATAGACTTCAGTCGGCACGTGGAAAGGAATATCCGATGTATTTGCATATGGCGCCAAAGTTTAGCAAGTTCGGTCATTGAATCAACCTTGAAGGCTAAACTCAGGGACCTAAAAAGACGTGATCTCACAAGTAGATACAATAATCATACCCACGAATGTCCTGTTGTGCATGTGGCGTTGGCAAAGTTCGACTTCCGATGCGGTGGTGCTGGCATGCATTACGTGTACTGCATCTAGCAACTCTCCCAGTGAGACTTTTTCTCTGAAACATCTCGGCCAGGTGGGGCGATCCAGCTTCGCTGCGGCAGCAGCATCTTCCTGGCGATCAGGTGAGCCCTCCCCCTTTCGTTTGCGAGCTTGTTTGGGCTTGAAGTTGCAAGCACATTGGGGAAAGATTGGTGCTCGCAGTTGGGGTTCAAGATCCGGTATCGCTGATTCATGGCCAAGTTATCCTTCCTTGAATGCGTGAAAGCTTGGGAACAGCATCGAAGCCTCCGAAAACGTGCACGAGGGCGAAATGTTCTGCTGCTGGACATTAAGGGCAGGAAGCATGTCGTTCCCTCCCTCGAGAATACGAAACTGAATGCATCTATCATTCGTCCGATGACTCGTGAGATGGCAAAGTCAGGTAGAATCCGAAAGCCGATCAACCTCATCAAGGAAGTGGTTCGCAAATTCTATGAGAATGAAGCAAATTCAGATGATGAGAACCAGTTGACTACAGATGCCAAGTTGAGAAAAGATCGAAATATCAACAAGTCCGCGGAAATTATCAAGAGCATGCTGACCATGATCAAACGAAAATGGGCCAAATGGGAGCTACCACGTGTGCCATGGATCAGACAGTAAGCTATAGCTATGATTTTTTCAGGCCCTGAAACAATGTCATTCCACCATGATCAGGATGAGGATATTCGTGCAATGGTTCTCGATATGGCTGAGGCTATGTCGAAAGCGTATTCAGACACTAGCATGAAGCAAGTAGCAAGTTTCTGCAGATTCTTACATATGTTCTGGCTCCATTCATTTGTGATTTCTGCCTCGATTGCTCAATCCAGGAAGGCCGCTGTGCACTAGAGAAGTCACCCAAGCAGCCAGGGTCTGGTGCTACAGACGAGGACGTCGATAGTGACGACATGGCTGATGATGAGTCCTTGAGGGCAAGCTTGCATCGCAGTGTTTCGCGAGGCGGTCAATCTTCAGCATCGTCCGATCGATTGTCGGTGCCCTCACCCCTTGAGGCTTGTTTGAAGGCACCTCCCCAGGCAGAGATGGAAAGACTCCTGGGGATTTCCCTGAACCCGGAGTCTTATGAGTGGCTCCGTCGTGGAGGACAGAAGCCGGCATCACAGCCGGTGGCGCCAGGCGCCCCGGTGGAGGAGGGTGCTTTGGCACTCCCTGTGGGTGCACCTGAGGCTGCAGAGGCTGCCAATCCGGCGATTCACAGCCAGGTTCTGGCTGATTTTTTGGACGACAGCCAGAACATAGAGGGGATCGACGCACATGAGAGTCCAAAGAAAGCTGTGCCCGACCCCTTGTCTCCTGGAAGTCCAGAGTCTTGATCAAGTTTAGCTTGTATGGGGTTGTTGCTTTGAGTTTCCTTCGGAAGCAGGTCTGCGCAATAATGTGTTGAGGAGTTTATCTCCTACAAGCCGGCCGCTGCTCGAGTGACTCCGCCTTCAACGTCGTCTGGGCTTGCTCGTCAGCTTGCCGGAATGGACCCAGCCAAGCTTCGAGAGATTTTGGCCGTTGTCAACAACAAGTTGTTCCTTGACGATTATATTGTGCATAGACATGTATGTAGCACAAATCAAGCAGAAAACAGAAAGCTGTGTCTTGCATCACAACTTCGGCCCAGGAATCAGGCTTCTTCCAAAGACCACTTGATTCTGGACAAGGGCATCAAGCGGAAGCTGAACTTCGAGGATGCCTCAGAGGCAGGCTCAACCTCAGCCGGCAGTCGAGGCCGTAGCGTGCATTGATCCATGAATTGTGTTGTGTATGCCCCGTGATCGAGAGATTATGCACAACACTGAACCTGACAGGTTCAGGCTCCTCAGTTGACAACACGGAGACCCAAGCTTGGGATGTGGGGCCGGAGGATTATGTGAATTCCTGGCTCGAGTCACAGCGAGCAGAGGATGCTGCTAAGGTTCAGCAAGCGCTTGCTCGTGAGAAGGAGTTGAAAGCCCGGGCTGAGCACGAAGCTGCGGCAAGACGGCTTCAGGCTGAGCTTGAAGAATGTGAGCCAAGGCTTGGCAAGCCTGCTGCTTTTCACGATTGGCAATGCAGTGTGATTTGAACCATATGTGTTGCTTGTGTGCTAATGCCCGGTAATTCCGACACAATGCGTATTGCCATGCTTGTTGGGTTCTTTGATGTGGCATTAATCTGAGGAAGCAGAGGTGATCACTCGCACGAGGCAGCTCGCCCTGAGTGCCAACAAGAAGGAAAAACCCACTCAGCAGGAGAAGCCTGTTGATGAGAGAGATGATGAGAAGCCCGGTAAGAAGCCCGGTAAGAAGCCCAGTGAGAAGCCTGATATCTCCCCCGATGATGAGCAGGAGGAGGAGGAAGAGGAGGACCTTCAGAAATCCAGAGCCGCTGCGAAAAGCAAACCGAAGGCGAAAGCCAAAGCGACATCCAAGGCGAAAGCCAAGGCCAAAAGCACTCCAAAGCCCAAGAGTGCTGCAAAGGCCGAGCCGGCAAAGGGCAAGCCTGGGCGGCCAAAGGCCAAGGCGACCAAGGGGAAGCGCAAGGCGGGGGGTGACGAGGAGATGGATATGGATGAGGAGCCCGGTGATGATGTGGATGCGGATGCGGCCATGGAGGCTCCTCCGAACGTGAAGGGCAAGAAGGGCAAGCTCGCCCGATCGCGAAGCTTCAAGAAGTTGCGGAGGATGAAGAAGCTCAAAAGTCGTGAGACCGGCGATGATGGTGATGAACCGGACAATGCCACGGAGTACTACGAGCAGGTGGTGGCAAAGCGTGTGACAGGCAAGCGGAAGACCAGGGCCAAATCGACCGCAGAGCCGGTCGAGGAGCCGGCCGAAGACGAAGAGCCGGCCGAAGACGAAGAGCCGGCCGAAGACGAGGAGCCGGCCGAAGACGACGAGCCGGCCGAAGACGAGCCGGCCGAAGACGAGGAGCCGGCCGAAGGCGACGAGGAGGAGATCCCGACGTTTGCCCGTCGCTACTATCCCAAGCGCAAGTACTACCAGGCCAAGTTCCTTGCGGTTCGGGACACGTACAACGAGCACATGCGTGTCTTCCTCACCAACCATTCGAAGATGGAGGCTAGCTGTACTGCCTTTGCTATATAGGGCTTTTGATCTTACATGATTTCGAGCTTCTGTTCATGAGCCTTGCATGTATATTGACGTGCTGATTCCATGCTTCTGCAGGGCGAGTGGTGGCGCTTTGTGGCTGAGACGATGGAGGAGCAGCCGGAGGATGAAGATGGCTGGCGCCCAGCAGTGCACAAGTTGGCCTATGATTTCTTGGCGGATGATGATTTCAGTTTCTTGTTTGCATTCAAAACAGCACACTGGCTTCATGGCTCATATATACATCTCGACCCCTAACATGGTTTGTCACTCTCGAGGCAAGACCTGGTCTGATGAGGGACAGAGCTTTTTCAACAGGGCAAAGCGCCCCACTCGCAAGCAGTACGAAGCAAAGCTTGCGAAGCTCTCGGCTCACTGATGTGTTTATCGAGTGAGTACATGGGTTGCTTGCAGCGGGGGGACCCTGGGGCAAAGAACCTCTCGCAGCAGCCAGCAGCCGTGTCGGGCCATTTGTTTTGCTTCGCGCCAGGAGCCGGCACCTGCATCTGTAAGAGTCCCGTGGCTATCACCTAGATAGTTTGCAAAGAACTGCAATACACAGCCACCTTTGAACCTTATAATCGTGCTATATACTGCAATTGGCTAGATGGCTTGTTACAATGATGCAGTTCCGGGTCGGCTGCCTGTGCCAAGGATCCCTTTCAAGGCTTCCAGTTCCCATGTGTGCAGGCTAGACTAGCCATCGGTGCGGCAGTGCTTGCAGCTCAAAAAGTGCCGATGTAGTGCTCTCTCTATGCAAGGTCGACATGTAACTTTCTGCTGCCGTGTGTGTCCTTGCCACAGTTCTGCTTGAGCAAGTGCTCGTCCCGATGCGCAGGTTCTTCTGGATGGCAGCTCGTCGGCGACGTCCTGACAGCTCTGACGGTGAAGAAACTCTTGCGTCGGAATCAGGCACGGGAGGTCTTAAGCTGCATGAAAACTATAGACTGTAGACTGATTCGCCTCACACTCTTCAGATTCAGGACGGTTTCTGAACATACATGGATCAAGTGCTTTAATTGCTGTGATCGATGCACATTTTCAGAAGCTGCGTGTGAATTCTGTATGATCGAAGCAGGATTGCAAATGTTTCTTTGCAGCGTTTCCTTTTAGTGCATACTTTCACCCCAAGCCTTTGGGCCCTTGTCTGTGGCCATGGACCTGTTCCGACTTGTGGACAACCTCATGAGGCTGCAAGCTCCAAAGGCCAGTGGGAGATCCATGGGGTTAAGTGGAACAAGCTTTTCGGACTTCGATCAATCATGTTGTTCCTGGCCGACCCCCCGCAACATCATGACCCAACCGATGCCATATCTGAATTAATGCAGGAAGTGATGCTCTTCACACATGCATTCTGCAGTGCGGACATGTTCCCTAAAAGCATGTAATGATCGAGTGGTATGCATGTGCAAAACAAACTCGAATATGAATCTCATGCAGGCTTTCATCCTCGTGGTGCTTTGCCTCCTCTTCAATGAAAACTTCACGAAGGCCTCTGACAAGGAGGGTTCCACAGCTGTTCGGAAGCATGTTTCTCAGGCGAGTGATTCGACATTATCCGTGGCTTGCACAGCATAGCTGGGTAATCTTGATCGATCTAGATGATGATACAAGCCCGATAAACCCTAGAAGCTCCAAACCTTTTATGTAAAAGCTCAACACCTTGATGCAGGACTTCTTCTTCTTGGAGCATTATGCTGGGGAGGCGGTGATGTCTCAGGAGATTCAGGCAGCACATGGACGTGATACTGCTAAGCTCGACATCAAGTACCACCATTCCATGGACATTTGCACTCCGCCGGGGTTCGCGATCGGATCTTAGACAAAGTCATGCAACGCAAGCACTGCAACGATGTTTGTACCATGCAGACTATCTAGTTGGAGCTGAGGTTGCACCTGCTTTCAGTTCTGAAAGGGCGATCTTCAGGATTCACTTTGTGGCAAGGGCTACAGTGCAGCAGCTGGGTATCGATATGCAAGGCGACGAGCATGAGATGTTTCCTGAACCCTTGCGGGTATGAAGAGCTACCCTTCGTAGCCATGGGCAATGCTCAACTTTGCAGGACAATGTGTTCCCCTAAATTTGTTTATTGTTTTGCTATTTCTGCTCGTGTTGCAAATGATAAACCGATCACGCATGATCACAGTACAGCTAGACCGCCCCCCAGAAGCCAAAGTACAACCCTCAAGTTGTCACGGGCCTGAAAAGATCCGTAGTGCCACACCTGGGAGGACTATTCTTGTCTCGCTTCTTTGCGTGGCTTTGGGGGCCAACTGGATGATCGAGCAGCCGGGCTCCTCGTTAGTCTGGCGACACCCTCGCTTTCAATGGTTTTGCAGAACACACCAGGCCAGGTAGAATCTTCACAAACAATATAAGACCTCGATCGATCGATGTGTTGTATAGATAATATAACGTTCTAGGCACAGCCCAAAACACCCTTCGTTTCAAGCCCTATGGTTTTGCCTGCCCCAGGTGTACGTTTCCCGTTTCTGGATGATGCACTGGGGGCATTCCTGCCCGAAACGGACAGTGGTTTGGAGCAGCAGCCCCAAGGTACTTAAATTCAACAGGGGGACGCTATGCACTGCCGATAAGCAAGCAGCGAGGGCTCGTCATGGTGATGTTCAACCAGTGACCCGCAAGATCACCAAACAAGGTCGGAAGTCCTACACAGGAAACCATCAATTGAAGGGCACCCAGACACAGCCTTAGCTGCTTCAATACAGTCCTACTCTGAAGTACAGAACACCTACATATAGGTCCTCCACAGCTTAGCCCTTCCTTCTCCAAGGACCTACACGCCAGCATTCAGCCGAGAGATGGCCAAGTTGCTGCCGCTCGTCATGAAGTCCCCGCCACTGCGCCCCACGGCGATGCTGGATGCCTCCACGGTAGAGAAGCTTCGCTGCTTGGACATGGGTGAGGATGATTGGGCTGATGCGGGCCTTTGGGATCTGGTTCGTTATGTCTATGGAGCCAAAGGCTTGCGTATCCCCGAGCAATGGAAGGTATGTTTCCCTAGCAGCCTCTTTGGCTAAGTTGAGACACGGGTCTGGTGCGCATGTGTAGTGTAGTCTATAAATTTATATCAGGCATGCATGCATGCGTATACGTGCGTTGTATATACATGCGTGCAGGGATGTGTTGTTGCACATGCACATATGCTAGCTGCATGGCCATGCAGGTGTGTGTCTGCATGTGTGTATGTAATTCGAGCACTGTCGGCGCACTACCTGTGTTCGTAGGCACATGTGTCACGGCAATTAAGTCGGGCATGCATGCACATGGTGCAAGGTTTCGACGGCCACGTGCATATATGATCGCGAGTCATACGCAATTCTGACATTAAGCTGCTTCTAGGACAGAAGCTTGTGGCCAAGAAGCCCTGCAAGCCTTCAGAAAATTCGTCTGTGCTGTAGCCTCGATAGATCGATCGAACTATGGAGCTGGTCTTGGTTCCTGCAGTTTCAGTTCTCAGCCCTGGTAGGCCCTGCCAAAGCCCTTTGCCCCATAACCAATACCCCGCGCAACCTTGAGCCCCACAAGCCCGAAACCCGCAACCCTTGAGCCCCGCAAGCCCAAAATCCGCAACCCTTGAGCCCCACAAGCCCGAATCCCGCAACCCTTGAGCCCCGCAAGCCCAAAACCCGGAACCCTTTTGCTGCAAGCCCGAAACCTGCAACCGGCCCTTCAGCCCCGCAAGCCCAAAACCCGCAACCTTTGAGCCGCGCAAGCCTGAAACCCGAAAGCCTCAGTCCAATCTGGAAAGCATGCATGCATGCATGCATGCAGTGACAGGATCGATCTATATAGGAGTGCACGCTTCACTAAAACTGCTGCTGGCTTCATGAATGCATGATCTTTCCAGCACAGTGCTGTACGTGGACTTGTTCCAACTCCAGATGAACACAAGCGTGAATTGCGCACGCAGTGGTCCTAATTTTATAGCAAGGTTCTCGCTTGGCTGTACTGACGGGGTCTCGATCTTAGGCATGCATGCATGCATGTGTGCCACGTGACTGGGCCTGCGTGTTTCTTTTGCTGGCTTATATAATTCTATAGTCGAGCTTAATGTAAATTTCCAGCTAGTGGCACATGAGTGCGTTCATATCGATCAAAGACGAAATCGTGCCCTTTACAGCTCAACTGAATCATGCATGAATGATGCAGTGAAGGCTCCTGATTGCTCCATCCAGATGTGCCTAGATGGGTCGAGTTTTAGGGTACGTTAGCTATATAGAGCTAGCTGATCTTAATTGGTTCTGGGCTTCAGGGTCTTGTGTACGTAGACAATTCCAATTTAGAGCTGCAGGTTCTGCGTAGCTAACCTCCCCTGTGTGATGAAGCGGTTGCGGGTTTTACAGTTGGCTATAGCTATAGGATCTCGATCGAGCTAAAGGGTCGGGGTTCTGGGTTTGGCCATTCTAGCATGCTCTGGGCTTTCGGTTCCGGGTTGCAATAGATAGGCCTGATAGTGCGTGTGTGCTATTAGGTGGAGGGCTTTCAGGGTTCAGATTTGTATAGGCCAGGATTACGGGAGCATTGTTGGAGCTGGGCTGTATAGGGCTAGTCTAGTGTTGTGGTCAAGGGATCGATTGATCGAAGATCATATCATGAGTTTGATCGATCGATCACAATTATATAAGATTGCGGGCTTCAGTGTTGCATGTTTGTGGGCTTCAGGGTTGTGTGCTTCAGCTAGCCTAATATTTGCTGCAATGCCTCATGCTTGTGTGTTTCAGGGTTGCGGGCTTCCGGGTTGCGGGCTTCCGGTTTGCGTGCTTTCGGGTTGTGTGCTTCCGGTTTGCGTGCTTCCGGGTTGCGTTCTTCCGGGTTGTGTGTGGACATGCATGCAGGCCAGGTTGCGGGCTTCAGGGTTGTGGGCTTCAGGGTTGCGGGCTTCAGGGTTGCGGGCTTCGTGGTTCCTGGCTTCAGGGTTGCGGGCTTCAGGGTTTAGGCTTCAGGGTTGGGGGCTTTGGTTGTGAGCTTCAGGGTTGCGGGCTTCAGGGTTGCGGGCTTCAGGGTTGCGGGCTTCAGGGTTGCGGGCTTCAGGGTTGTGGGCTTCAGGGTTGCGGGCTTCAGGGTTGCGTGTTTCAGGGTTGCGGGTTTCAGGTCGGAGTTGCGTGCTTCAGGGTTTTGTGTTTCAGGGTTGCGTGCTTGAGACCTGTGGGGTTCAAGGTTGTGGGCTTCAGGGTTGCGGGCTTCAGGGTTGCGGGTTTCAGGGTTGCGTGTCTCAGGCTTGTGTGCGCCTCGAGGCCGAAGTCTTTTTCTGCAGCTAGCATGCTTGCCGGGTGTGCAGGGTTTCAGGCTTCAGATCCCGGCCGGATTGTGCTTTCTTGTGTGGGCTCAAAGGCTGCGTGTTTCAGGTTTCAGGGCTGCGGGTTGCAAATATGCTGCTGCGGGCTTTGGGGTTGCAGGGTTATTTGCTCGTGGAGCTTGAATGTGCGGCCTGTGGGCTTCAGCGGCTCAGACCTGAACCGAGTTTGCGTGCTTTGTGGCCAATTCACGCGACTATGTCGGATCTATGCAAATTCGTGATTTCCAAACAACCACTTCTGCCCACGCAACACTCACTTTTGCCCACGCCACACTCACTTTTGCCCACGCAACGCCTGGTTCTGATTTTGGACACATGTTGATAAGATTTTGCGCCACTTTGCGTGCGCAAAACACGTGCTCTCCTGAAGCACAAGGGTGTAAGCTGGAACTGTTTCGAGTGCAGCCATGGCCTTGAGCAGGGATGTTCATTCAGCAGACACTTTGAAGTCTGGACTTGGTCAGTTGCTGCGGTCGGCTTCGGGCGGTGATCTGGACACCTTGAAGCTTGTGGCAAAGGAGTCGCATAGACTATACGTTTCAAAGCCGGTTTCCTGTCTGGTGCGTGTGTGCATGTCCATCTATTTCGATCGAATCATACAATATTGCAATAGGAGCTTGAGTCCGCCATCAGCATCGCAACCGCGGATGTCAAGACCGAGCCCGGCACAGAGAGTCAGCTCGCAAAGATGCAGTTGGCGCCAGTGCCTGGGCTTGGAGTATGATTGCATGGCCTAGTGCTGAAATAGGCACACAGCTTCATGGCTCCATCGATCCTTTCCATGTTGTGCATGTGCAGTGTGCATGCATACCATGCATGCCAATTTGATGTGTCCTGCTACAGATTTTATATGAACTGCATGCATTTAGGTCAAGAAGGAACCTGGTGTCGAGCCCCCCGTGCCCACGCCTTCTTCGTTGCCAGCACCAGCAACGCCAGCCTCCAGCGCAGTTCCCAGCACGCCGCAGCCGCCGGCATCCGATCCTCTGCATCAGGACAGAGGGAGGTCGAGATCTGCATCATTGTATGCATGCATGCATACATCGATCCTCAATTTGGGCAGTGATTCTGTGCTAATCTGGATCGACTAGCTGACATGCATATATAGATCGAACACTGCAGATGTACTGAACAGGAGCTCTTGCAGAAGTTCAGCCTACTCCAAGCCGCAATGCTCATGCAGCAGACTGAGCTCCAGAAGCTCCGTGACCGTGAGAGCCAGAACCAGGACTCCCAGACGCAATTTACGTAGTAGCTGCCAGGCTGTCGATGGCTGTTTTGCATGATCTTATGCACGAATGCATGCTGTCGATCCATCCCATACAATGCACAATATTTGCAATTTGCAAGTGAGCCCCGGCCCTGTGCCAATCGCACAAGGATGGGCAGAATGCGCAGCCACGGCAGGAGCCGACCCAGGAAGCTGTGGAGAAGCAGCAGCAGAAGGAATCACCTTCAGCTGCTGTTGTGCGGATGGATCAAAGTCCCAGGGGCTCCAAACGATCGCATCCTATGACCCCTGTCAAGAACCCCAAGCCCCCGAGTGCCCCGAGCCAGGCGCCTGATGAGGACTCTGAAACCCCCAGAGTTCTGAAATCCGAAACCCTCGATAAGCTCGAGAAGGAGAAACTCCGCAGGGTGGTTTCCCCGAAGAAAGGCTCGGGGACTTTGGAGGTCCCTGAGGACATCTTCGAGATGTGGAAGGACGCTGCCAAAGGACGTCAGACCCTCTTCAGAATGTGGGCGAAGTCCGGCGGGGTGAAGGTGGGAGGGCTTTCAGTGCTAAAGAATGCACATGTGCATTATATTTATTTACGATCATGCATAGTGTTCTTTCCAAACTAGATGATGCTGTGGCCGCGCTCCTCGTAAGTTTAGCTCATCAGTCATGCATGCATATATCATGCACACACAATTCTGTGTGTTACACATGAACATTGGGCGGCCTCAATTGTATGCATACTACAGCTAGAATGACCAACCCAACAGGCTGTGTTCCTCGACACCATCACGATCTTCTCGAGAACTACACGGAGCAAGAAGCTTGAGGTCAAAGGTGGCTTTTACTCCCGAGAAGATATGAAATCTGAACTTGGATATTCAACGCTTCCTAGCTGCACAGACTCTTCCTGTCAAATGCCTTTGTAATCAATTTAAAGCACTGATGAATGCATCGATATACAGCTGCTTTCCCAGCTAAGCAACCGTGCGAAGTGTATCCCAGGTCCAGAATCGAGAAGATAGTTGCCTGGGCTGAGAAGAACAATCTCGTTCGGCAGCTCGGTGGCATTCGCTCGCGGTTTGTGTCTGGCTCGTTTCATCTTTCTCTGGCCCTCTCCCTCTCTCTCTCTCTCTCTCTATCTCTCCCTCTCTCTCTCTCTCTCTCTCTCTCTCTCTCTCTCTCTCTCTCTCTCTCTCTCTTTCCCTCACTCTGTGGTTCTTCAGGGTTGCTTCTTGGCGATCAATTTAGGTGACCTAGCTGGTCCGTCTTTTTGGTGGTATTTGCTTCTCTCTCTCTCTCTCTCTCTCTCTCTCTCTCTCTCTCTCTCTCTCTCTCTCTCTCTCTCTCTCTCTCTCGCTCTATCTTTCTCTCTCACTCTCTCACTTGCACTTCTTGCTTCTTCTCGACCCTTGTCGCATGTGCACCAATCATAACAGCTCCCATCCTCAAAATCATATGTGCAATTTCAGAACCAGTCTGCCCTCCCCAAAAGCAAACCCAGGACATGTGAATACGATGATGAGACGCTGGAGTACTGGGTGAACACAAGGACGCTGGGCACCATGACGAAGGAGGACCTGGAGATGATGCAGCGGGAGAGAAAGTATGAAGGTGAAGGCGGTGATGACCTGCTTTTCAAGCCGGAGGTTCATCTTGATGGGTTTGATTTCAGTGATGATGACCGGATGATCCACAAGGGCACTAAGAATCTTGAGGGAGATCACCACAAGAGTGCCTCTCGGATGCTTTCCATGGAGACGCGGTGCCTCATGCAGACCTGGGGTGTTTGTTGCAACATTGTGCCCTGATGTTGCGCAGCCGGTGAAATCTCAGGTTGCATCGCAAATGAAGGAGTACTTGAAGCAGGTGCTCAAGAGTAAGAACTCACTTGAAAACTTCGTCGACAAGATTAAGGCCGCGGTTTCTGGTGATGCAAAGGCTGCAGGGCACATTGGCTTCAAATAGATAGATCGATCGATGCACATGCACGTGTGCGTGTGTCTGTGTGTGTGTGCAACTATGACCAATCTTTTCAAGTGCCACATGTGTTGGTCTGAGGGCCCTCGGCAAGATGACTGGCCTTATCAAGGACTTCGACACGCTGTATGAAGAAATGTCGGAGGCCAGGGCTGAAGGTAACACATCAGGCTACACCCAAAAGTTGCCGGGCTGCAGTCTGACAATATGCATATAGATGGAATTTGCTTATCATTGCTCTCGAATCCTTCTACTCGTGAGCTTCTGGCACTCAGGCTGCAGGATGAATGCAAGGCGTTCTTTACCAAAGCTCAAAAGCTGAAACCCGGCCAAAGCCCATTGCACGTGCCATGTACAATCCCGATGTCGATTGACCACTGCAATACCCGGTCTGAGCTCGGAGCACGGTAATCCAAGGATGTCGAAGGCGACTTCCTTGGAAGCCGCTAACAAGTCTGGCTCCCGGATCCTACAGGGGTTGCTGCTCGGGATCACTATTCCGTTGTCGTTCTTCCACCGTACGATGTTGCTAATTGGTCTTCTGCTTAAGCTATTGGACTTCTGGAAGTTTCGAGGCCCAAGATTATTACGACACAATGCCATATTGGGTTGCGTGCAAATATGCCGGTTACGTCCCTTAGGGCTTCCAGGCTAGACATTGGATGGGCTCGATCCCTGCATATAAACTATCTCTAGGATGCCACCGGCCTTTATACCCATACACCCAAGTCTCAAGTTCCCTATAGGCAGTGAACCCATTGTTTATACAAACATTTATTCCTGGTCGCAAAACCATGGCAAATGCAAACCAGCAACCGCCCATGCTTTGGGCTTTTTTGAACATAGGTGCCTATAAGCAGTCGATCGACCTTAATCCAAGGCTAAACCAGCTAGATCAGAGTAGACCCATTCTGGACTCCTATAAAGATCCCTGAACCTGGGCCTACGTGTCCTGGAAGCATTCTACTGAAATCCTTGAAGCTCTTCTGGGAAAAGGGCTACAGTACCGGGATGATGGGGATACGGGGTTTTAGAGAGTGATTATATAATATTCTAAAATCTATGTAGAGCTATAGTATAGTGTAGTGGGAGCTTGGTGTTTGAGGTTAATGTCGTGTTTGGTCCACATGCCACCTCCTCTGAATCCCCTCACCTGACCCTGCCGAAGTAACTTCACACAACAACACCAACCAAGGAAGACCCTAAACCAAGGCCCCTGAACTCCTGAATGTCTCGATCCTGTCAGAAGCCATCCACAATGCTTGAGGAACGTGATCGGGCAAGAATCATGCAATTACTTTGGTGGGTGCTAATCTTCCAAATCGACCATTATATTATGAAGGCTTTTGCTGCCGTTTCATCTATAGTATTGATGTATAGCCAGCTTGTGTATATCCTTGGGTTACATAAGAAAAGGTACAGTGGGGTAATGAAAACCTATGATGGCCCGATGTCCATGATTGATGTGCATAGGCTAGGTTCCCCCAGTACACTAAATCTTGATTGTTCCTGAGCTACGAACACGCACAGTTCACCGTACCTTGGATCCTAGCTGATCGATCCTATAGACAAGCTTGTGCAATACGGATGATACTCGGTTGTAGCTGTGCTTTTGTCTGGTGTGAGCAGCTCACAACAATCACCGAAGCCAACAACCTGGAAAGCTTAAGCCATATTGTACCTTTATAGGGGGTGCATGGTTCTATAGACAACCCGTCGTGCCATGAGCCAAAAGAATTATATAACCATATAAGTAACCCTGGAAGCCCTTTTAGCTAGGCGGTAGCCCCAATGTAAAGACAAGCCGACCCGTGTCGCAAAGGCAGATTCTGACGAGGGCACGCAAGGCCGCGAAGACATCAAACGAATGAGCTCAATCTCGGCGCCGAGATTGGATGGGTCTGATCTAGATTTAGCTGCTTCGATGCTACAGTAGCAGAGGAGCGAGGATGCTTTAGACGTCCATTACATTTTCATGCAGATTTGATTTTGCCATCGACACATCGTGCCTCTGTCGCTTTAGTGCTGCTATTCAGAAATTTACCTTTTTAGCTCTTATGTAGATCCATCATCACATGTCATTCCATTATGCTTCTGCATGGGTGTGATGTGTTTCGGCTGGGATGCACAGGTTCAGTGGAAGCCCAGGGCTCTACTGACAAATTCTGTTTCACACCTGAGTGTGTGAATTGGGTTGGGCGGCCTCAACAAGCAATGTAGGCCATCGTGCTGTTAATTAATTGTACTGGGTACGCAGTATATGACAGCTGTCCAATAACATCGAACGGTCTGGATGTTGAGGCTAGCTAGCTAGTTTACGGTGCTCACGATCCAAGCGCCCTCAGAAGTGTGCTTGGTGGGCAAGTTCCATGCAGAACCAGGGGACGACCAAAGCAGCCTAATGTGGGAAAGTCTCTGCTGGAGGGCAGTGCCTGCAGCTCATATGTAGTACATCACCCAACTATAGATATCTTAATTTAAGACCTTTGGGTAAAGTGTTTGGAAACCAGTATCGGAGTGGAACCTCCTGGGCTGGTTCAGCTATGTACTGCATGCGAGTCTGAGACATCGGAAAGCTAAAAACTGTGTTGCTGAGCCATCCCTTAGCCCATGCCCTAGGAAGTATATTGATTCATTAAGTATACTACTTCGCCAAATCAGTTTATATAAGATGTTTATCGATATCTGGTTAAGACCTCGCCCCAAGCTCTGCCGAAGATATCTCTATAATTATAACATTAAGACAATCGTGTGATCGATGTAGATAAGCTAGCTCCCTCGAAATTTGTCTAGGAAGTTTCCCATAATGTGTCGGCTGGTGCTGTACTTAAATGAACTACCCTGGTAATCCTGCTATGAATAAACCTCCTACCTGTCAGGCAGCTATGTCCCGGCCGGCATCAGTGAGCAGGTGCATCTCATTGCGGTGAAATATGGCAAGGGCGCCGGGGCCCCAACTCATCGAAGCCGGCATGCCCTGGATGATTCCTGTGTGCAGGCACAGACATTTGCAGATCCATAAGCAGAATCAACAAACGTTTTGATGAATCTGCTCCTGGACTTTGCAGCGCATTTGCAGTGCACAGGGTAGCCCTCTAGAGTACTGCATGTGTGTGTCTGTGCTAGTCAGATGGCATGTATAGACCCTGTCACAAAGATGGATATCTTTCCATGGACTGATTCTGAAGACGATATGACTGTGCAGAATCACAGTGACAACGATATGGATGTCTCTGGTGCTTCATGGGCTTCTGCAAGCACAAGGGAGCCTCCTTCGCCAAACTCCCCCGATTCGAGCTTTCACCTTGATGAGAGAATAATCGCGGAAACTTCACTGGCTTCGAAAGTTCTACTACACTGCTTGCGGGTGGTCGATGCTGTCAGAACAGAAAACGGTGGTGCTTCGTTGTGCGTCTTCAAGATTGGCCTTACTTCCAACCCGGTTCAGCGCAGAGCTAGCTACCTCCAGCAGAACTTTCAGAACTTCGTCGTGATACACAAAGTTTGGCGACCCGAACTGCTCGGCATGCTAGAGATGTTGGAAGCTGCTCTGATTGCACAGTTTCACGACAATGGGCGGTGTTGCCGAAACGTTCGGCTGGGTGGGGAGAGTATGCGCACTAAAGATTTTGTGCCAAGGTTCCCGCCACCTTACTATGCATACTGTGCAGCTACAAATGCTGCGCAATGCAAGCCCATCCTAGGATGATGTGCTCTGGTTTTGTGGCACATGTGGCTTATGTGTGCTTTCACACAGATGAGCTTCGAAGCTGCAAGTGCGATGCAAAAGTGCATTTTCTTCGGCACGTCTGCAAATAGCAATGACACGGATCCTGCATGAGTTCTTTGATTAACAGTCTACAGCCTGCTGTGCCGAGGTCGCAGCAAAGGATCTGGTCATCGATGCCCAGGCAGCAGTGAAGCGAGATCCTTGCGAAGTGTTGGCCAAGATTGCAAAGGTGCCACCAAGCAATGCCGATGCACCGCTGTTTGAAATTCTACGCAAGAATGGATTGACTTTGCCTATTGACTTTAGCTGGAGCAAAGCTGGGAAAGTTTTCAGGTATCCTTTTCTGAGCCCCAGGGCCCAGCTTGAAGCTTTGAGTGATGCGGGCTACTTCCATCGGGTTTTGGGTCTGCCGGTTCACTTGGCAAGTGAGGGTCTTGATCTATTTTGGAACAAGTTTCGAGTCCTGCACCCCCGGCACAGCTTGTTCGAGAATGCCAACAATATTGATTTTCAGAGGCTCATCCCTTACTACCTGCATGGGGATGGGGGCCGTGGCTTCAAGAAGGAGGCTATCGAGATATTATCCATGTTTCCAGCTCTGGGGACAGGGTCGAGGAAGCATTCTGTAGACCTCAGTTCAAAAAGGCCTGTGGAGAACGAAATCGAGCTGGGCATCAATCTGCAAGGCAGCTCGGGGGCTACCAGGTTCCTGTTTACAGTTCTAAGCAGCTTAGTGGCCAAAACTGACAACACTATCTTTGATGATATCCTTGAACTATGGAGTCAGCAACTGCAGCGGCTCCTAGATGATGGTTTTCAGGTGGGCGGGAGCACGTGGCGCATCGCGATTTTGGGCTTTACTGGAGATTCTCCTTTCGTCAAAAAGGTTGCGAAGACCACCCGCTCGTTCCACAATGTGCGAAAGCGGCACACTGCAAAGAAAAAGCAAACAGGCTGCTGTTGGCTTTGTCATGCAGGTTACGACGACCCGGAGCAAGGAATCTTTTATCCCTTTGAACATCTGGGTTTCAGTGAGCCGCTCTGGCTGCAAACCTGCAAGCTGAACAACCCCTTACCATGGGAGGGGTCAGGCTCTCCACTTGTGCGGCGAATGCCGCTGGACAAGGATGACACGCCCGCTGCATTTTACACGGCGGACTTCTTCCATGTGTGGCATGCTGGGGTCGGTTTGGACTTCTGTTCATCCGCAATGGTGTATTGCTTTCGACTGTTTGAAATGTCCTCGGTGGAAAAAAACATATCGGAGCTGAACGCATCATTGCAGGTTTTTCTGAAGAAGTCAAAGCAAAAATTGGCGTGTGGTCGCGTGACCGAGGACCTCCTGGGCTATAGTTCCACGCGAGAATATCCTGAAGGCAAGTGGTCAAAGAATATGGACACAGCCGTTTTCACCAAATTCGTGATTTGGTTGGTGGAACGTCCAGAGTTTGCGGCCAAACTTGCAGCAGATGACATTCTCAAAATGATCCTCGCGACTGCCAAGGCGATCGGTGTGGTCATCAGCACGGCTCTGAGGGCGGAGTACTACATGGCGAGTGCGGACTGCCAGGAAGTGATAAGGAATGGGCATGCAGTGCTGACTGGCTATGGGCAGCTCGTTGTCACGTGCTACAGTGGACGTCTGTGCTTATTCAAGCTTCGACCCAAGGTTCACTACTTGAATCACATATTCCTCCGGGTTTGGGAAGAATGGCGTGCTGCTGGATTTGCGGTAAACCCGCTTGCGGAAGCCACGTTCATGTCGGAGGACTTCGTGGGAAGGACGGCTCGCTTATCCAGGCGTGTCTCAACAAGAGCCGTGGCAATCAAAACACTTCAAAGGTACTTGCTCTTCATGCAGACTGCCCTAAGCAAGGATAGTTTTGCAATGCTGGATTTGTCAATGCTGGACTGATCGAGCTACTCTGCCGCAAGTTGTCTCGATTTTTAGTGTGATTATGGAATTAATTTGTCGGGTCATCAGGAACCTGATTTCCACCACGATATCTTTGCAGGTCCATCCCAGAAATTCCAAAAGCACTGCAAATCTTGCGGAAACTATCTAATGCCTCTGAAGCTTACAAAGCTGTTGCCCAGGTTCGGTCCTGGAGTCGCAGACAGCGCAGAGCTCGTGCGGCCGCAGCACAAAAGCCATAATCGCATGGAGCTTTTGATCACTTAGAGTAATATTTCGGGGGTAGACTTCCGGAACTGAACAATTCCAAGATGATTCTCTGTCAATCGTTATCCCTACTCACAGTGCTTATCTTGATTTATGCCGGCATTTCTTGCTGAGGTCATCACAATGCATATCGGCCCCCGGTGCCCTGAAACCACGAAGTCTGAAACCCTGAGCCTCCAAAAATAGATGTTTGGCCAAACGCTCACTTTTGGACCCAACGCTCACTTCTTGAGCAGGAAGTGAGTGCGCCTGTTTATAAACGGAGGTTGCCCTTCACAGGTAGACATATATAACATTCTCTCTCTCTCTCTCTCTCTCTCTCTCTCTTCTTCCTCTGGGCTTGAAGGGCGTGTTAGGCCCCTCGGCCGCATGGGCCCCCCATATGTTATGGGGCTTTGTGGAGGGACGTGACAAGACAGTGAGTCCCCCTGACAGGTCTCTCTCTCTCTGTCTCTTTCTCTTTGCCGCGCCATCATCAAGAGTCTCGCAATGCAAGGGCACGAAAAACACAGTCTAGAACATCAGGAGACGAAGCGCGAACGCAGAACCTCCTTTATTCGTCTAGCCCACTCTATCTATGTATATATATATACATACATTTTTTGTGTAATCTGTCCTTATATCTTCCGACAGCTGTGAACATGTTCCCTATAACCCTAAACATGTTCCCTTATAACTTTGCATATGATCCGTATAACTTTAGAATATCTTTAAACCTTGGATTTATACATATATACATATATACACATGCATTTATTCCTTATAACTCTGAACAGCTCTGAGCATGTTCCGTATCACTCCAAACATGCTCCTTATATTTGTAACTATATGGGGGGTTCCGAAAACAGGGGAAACTAAAAAGGAACCGAATTTTTTTGATAGTTTCATAATAGGACTCCAAAGCAAGGTACCCCTAACTTTCGGAAACTCCCATATTCCTTGATATGACTATACTGAATTTAGAACCCTAGCAACAATTATGATTTTAGCTGTTTCTTAGGGATTATAACCAAAAATTTAAAAATATTTCTAAGTACCCCTAAGATGAACCCAGCTTATAGCGGCCTCCAACTCGCCCGCCATGCAGGAGAAGCTTGGACCGACAATAACACCTCAAGGTGTTTGGGCTGTGGGATGCTGAGGCGGTTTAGGCTTTCGGGGTTTAGGGTTTCGGGGTGTAGGGTTTTGGGGTTTAGGGTTTCGGGGTGTAGGGTTTTGGTGTTTAGGATTTAGGGTGTCCACCAGACTTGCCTAAACGCGTAACCTCTGAGCCCTAAAACCACAAACACTGAACACCGAAACCCTGCTGCTTAGGGCTCAGAGGTTGACAGCTGAAGCCTACAAGTTGGAAACCCTATAGCCTCAATCCTTAAATGAGTCATGTATAGGGAATCCCAGCACTATTTGGCCTTAATCCGGTTTCCAACTGGGGTTTACTGTAGTCAGAATAAGGTTCCTTTTAAAAGCGGGCTATAAGGGCTACTATAAATATACCGGATCCATAAGGCTACTATAATATAAAGGGCCTAACAAATAGAACAGGGTTTGGGGGCTTCTTATACTGTTTAGGAATGTACCTTCATTTATGGGGGCCTCAATACTGGAAGGGTCGGGGGACTTAGTAAGTAGGTAGCAAATAGACTTATAAGTACCCAAAAGAGGACCCTAATTAGGGTTATGGCACTTATAAGTCCCTAAAATAACCAGCTGCTAAGTCCCCCGACCCTCCAAGTATCATGGTTTACGCTAGATTCCTTAGTTAAGGGGCATTGGGCTCTCTGACTCTGGTATCGTCGTAGTGGTGATGGGACAACAACAGGGCTAACGGCACAGGGTCGCACAGGACGTCGACATCGCGAGCATCAAACTTTAGAAAGAGACTGCACCACTGACGTGAACTAATAAAGCCCATCAAGCCCAGTGCAAGGAAGCAAAGGAACCAACGCATGAAGCTCAGAACAGGAAGCCAAGTGCCGCACGAGTTGAGAACAGGATGCTACCGGACAGTGAGATGAACGGACGGCCATCTACAACCCCGCTTGCAGGAATCAACTTTTGTGCTGAAGGCGACGGTGGTTCGCTCGCTTTCGCGGGCCCACCTGTCCTCAGGTCTCGAGCTGGGTACGATTCCCCTCCCGTGCTCCTAAACCGTGATCCCGAACATAAACCCGTAACGGCTAAACCCCGGACCGTACCCGTCCTTCTTTTTCCCCTCTTCCTTGGAGGGTCGAGGGATCCTAAATCTGATATTTGGGAGTCTCAGAAACTGCGGGGCTCCTTTTCCGAATCCATGAATTTGAGAAGGATCCTCGTTTCTGGAGGGCTTTGATCCTTTAGTAAATGCTATGAAAATACTTTCAGGTATATTGAGGTATATTCTGGCATATCGAGGTAGATCAGTGTATATTCAGGTTTATTAATAGCCCTTGACCCTAAACTAAATAAGGCCCCCCCCCCTTCTGTTCCGAAACTCGCACATAAAAGGCACAGATATTCAAGTAGATCAATGTACGCTGTGGTAAGGTTTATCAATAATACCAGACCTAAGATGCTCTTGTGTTCCCTTAACCCTAAACCCTAAACAAACAAAGGCCCCCTAATTTTCTGAACCTCGCACTTAAAGAATACTAAACCTCAGGTCTCCTTATGTTCCCTTGACCCTTTTGCATCCAGGCCTCTTGAAGTCTTGCCGGGGGACGGCGAATGCTGTTTCCCTTGGCCCTAAACTAATAAAGGCCCCCCTTCTGTCCTGAAACCCTAAACCCTAAACCCAACCCCCTAAACCCTAAACTGCAAACCCTGGACCCTATAACCCTAAACTAACAAAGGCCCCCTTCTGTCCTGAAACTCGCACTTAAAAGGGCCAGAGTCGGAAGGCTTTGCCCAGACTGCTGGCGAAGGCTAAACGAAATGATGCTCGAATGCAGCGGTCTTGGACACTTATGTTAGGGGTTGAATAGCGGTTCCCTTTAGAAGGATCCTTAAAAGGGTTCTATAAGGGCTCCATAATAGGGTTCTATAAGGGGTCTCTAAAAAGATCATGCTCGAATGCGGTCTTGGACATTTCATGTGGTGCGTAAGGCGTAGTGATTATTATACAGTATGTAGTATGTAGCATAGATGGTGTATTTGGTAGAAGGATGTATAAGGTATATAGTACATAGAGTATACAGAGGATATACCGCATGTAAAGTATATACAGTACATGAGCATGTAGCATAAAATATCTAATGTAGCAATATATTTTGTATCGTATTTATACTGTATATCAATATATAGAATAAGCAAGGCGCTGTGCACTTGATGCCTAAGAAAACAGCCATGTAGCGACTGCACATGAAGAGGAGTGTACACTTGCAGCAGGTCGATTTCGATCTAATACACTACTAATGCGCCTGTTTCGGATCAACGGCGACCTGTGATTGCTTACGGAAAGCTCAAACACTTGAGGCCCGACCACTAAATCGCGGCTTCTCGTGTCAATGATGTCCCTTTCAATGTGCACAGGTACAACCGAACCCATGACAAAAACAAGTCTAGACCCTAAACGCTAGAGCCAAAACCCAAAACTATGCCGCTTCGAGCACCAAGGACCAAAACTGTCTTTTCCGCCTTAAGTGCTCAGCGGAAGAGGCGCTTGAAGAAGTTGAGGATGGAACCGAAGAAGCCCGGGGAGGAGACCTCGGCCTCTCGAAAAGGGGCTCGGAAAATCCGGCGCTCCTAGCTCTGAACGGTTTAGGGGTTTTGGGGTTTGGGGTTTAGGATTCATGGGGTTTAGGGTTTAGTATGGATCGCCCTAGCCGAAACCCACAACGCGAAACCCCTGCTGTAAACACAAAGGCCGTATATAGCCAAGATACTGACAAACACGCATACTGCGCTTTCCCGATTCTCCAAGTAGAACCTGAACCCTACCCCCACCCAAACCCTGCTGTTTCAAACCCCTACACCTAAACTAAACCCTACACCCTGAGACCAAAACCCTACTAGAATTTCCTTGTGCAAACCCCACTGAAGGGCGTACTTTGGGCTTCGGGGTGTTTGGTGCCACAGACTTCCTCAAGCCTACTTGGAGGGTCGGGCGACCTAGTAACTGGTTATTTTAGGGACTTATAATATAAGTACCATAACCCCAACTAGAGTCCCCTTTAGGGTATTTATAAGTCTACTTACTACCTACTTACTGAGTCCCCCCACCCTCCAAGTAAAGCCTAAACCCCCAAGCCTCCATGGCCGCCCCGAGCTTCGGATCCACGCTGAGGGCGCTGTGCTCGAGGCCGCTGCTGGCGCCGTCCTCGGCGTCAAGCCAAGGTTGTTTTTTTTGAAGGGTTAAGGCTTTAAGTCTTATAGGGCTTGTAGGGTGTAGGGTAGGGCTGGTGTAAAGGTGTAGAACAGAGTTTGGGGTGCATATTCCAGTACATCTTCTTTCAGCTGTTCGTTAGCTCGTGCATGATAGGGTTATAGGGTTGTATGACAGTTCTGGAAGCGATGTAAGGATTGGAGCTCCCTTCATGCTTTAGATTGTACTATTGAGAGTCTGGGAGTTTTAAGGCTCAGTATTTACGTAAGGCTTCAGTGGTAGGATGCTAGGATTTAGGCTCCCCCTTGGAGTCTGGGATTTGGCTGCCACGGTGTAAAAATGTTAGAAGGGCTTGAAGAATTTGGGAGTTTCCGAGAATGAGGGGTACCTTATTTTGGGTCCTTACAATAAGGATCCTACTACTTAGGGTACTATATTAGGGTCCGCTATTTTCGGAAACTCCCACTTCCAGAGCCTGAGCATGGCTCCGGGCTTCGTGGGATCAGTTTTCACCCATGACGGGGTGGGCGCGACTCATGTCTTGGATATTCTTAGGAGGGAAAGCCTGTGGCCCAAAAGACCTACCTGTTTAAGGAACAACCATAACCAGGAACCCTAAAAAGGTAGGTCTCTTTCGGCTACAGGCTACAGGTAGCGGGTGGGAAGGTTAGGGGCCGTCGGGCTGTCGCCACAGAAGCGAGGCTGAGAACCATGTTGCTTGGGGGCTGAGTACCCAAGGCCAAAGAAGGTTAACTCTCTCAATTATGGTAGGATTATATTAACACCAGAAGTTTAAAGGTTATCTACTCAGCTACTAAGGTTAGTTTGGCTCCTTCAGCACATTTTGAATATCGCTCTTCTGCCTTTCGCTCTGGCTTGGCTACAGCGACGATACTTAAAGGATTAAGGGGCTTCGTGACAGGGTGGTATGCGAGGGTGACGACTGATGCTTACTTGTAGCCCCACTTAAGGCCCTGCTGGTAAAACTCACAACTCTCTTCTTTTGGAACTTTCTTTTTGATGTCGCCTAGCTTCCAGCAGCTTGCTGACGTCTTCGCAGAGATCGTGCACCTGACAAGCATTGACAATGGTTGTGGCTCAAGTTAGAAGCCCAGCTACTTCTGCATGGGGTTGCAAGTCATAGAGTCACAGACGCACTTAACCCTCTTCTTACCCTAAACTGCAAGTAGCAAGGTGGCTCTACGCAGTTTTAGGGTGCAGTTTCAAGCGCCGCTTGGATCACAGAAGCAAGAACAGCAAGAGCACGCGCCAACACAGGAACTGTCTAAGAGGCCCTAAAGCTGATTCAGTTCATGGTCTCGGGCTTACCGGTATTAAACCAAGCATCAAGATCTACCGGCAAAAAACTGCACGCCGCCAGTTGCGTACAACTGCATGTGTTGATGCCAAAACGCATGTAGGTATGCTGCCACTTACATCTCCGTGTATCTGAAGAAGATTGCAGCCGCCACACCACATACTTACCTTTCCGCCATCACAAGAAAAGCCAACACCCACGAGAAGAATCCTAAGCCCGAAAACCCTTTTAATGGGAAAAGACCCTTACAAAACCCAATGAAGACCGCATTCGACTCTTTAAAGCCCCCTTGAAGTCCCACCTTGCCAGTCAAGGTATCAGCAGAGTTCTGGATGTTGGCACCCAGAGTCTCCTACCACTGCCCAAGGTTTGGGATGAGGTTCACGACACAAACATTCTAGGGTATTGGGCTGTACGATATTCTACGTCTATTTAGATAGACAGCGAAGGAGCAGTGCTGTAGTACATCACTGAGGGCTTCTGTATAAACCCTAAACCCTATGAGAGTTTTGGCAGGCAGCGGAACAAGCTGTCGTTAGAAGCAAGCCTGGGTTCGGGAGCTCCTACCTTTACAATGAAATCTTGTCAATGGCGGCTGCAGCTTCAGGTGCTTGGGCAACCAGGGTAAATTGTAAATAGGGTTTAGGGTTTAGGGTTTGCTTAGGCATCGGGTAAACATCGGGCCGGGGAGTCCAATACTAGCTTACATGCTCGCTGGCTTGTAGAATCTAAGCTCTCTGAGCTTGCGGCTTTTGCGCTCGAAATTGGTGGTCTGGCTTAATTATTTATAAGGCTTGGGTCCTTCGAATTTTGAGAGACTCGGCGCTAGCAGTACCTCAGCACTTCCGGATTTGAGGTAGCGCAGCTCTGACTAGATGACAAGGTTTGAGGTTCAGTCACATTTAGGGTGCAGGGTTTCGGGGTTTGGGTTGATATTCCGCGCGAAATTCTTAATCTCGCCGAGCCTACAAGCCCAACAGAAGCAGCTTTTCGCACTCCCCCTTCAAACCCTAGACCCTAAACACCGAATCATTCCAACAAAGGAGCACCTTCTTGTCCTCCGGGAGCTTCTTCAGCACCGCCTTTGTCACGGCTCTTTTTGTCGGGTTTTGGGCTTATGGTACTACAGGCTTTGGGGTTTAGGGTACATGCAGGGTTTAGGGTAAAGGGCTGGGGTTTTAGGGTATGAGGTTTAGGGTATAGGGTTTAGGGTATAGGGTTTAGGGTACAGGGTTTAGGGCTTAGGGTTGAGGGTATAGGGTTGAGGGTAGAGGGTTTGACACTCACTTGGTACACTTCTCGATACGGTTTAGGGTTTAGGGTATAGGATTTAGGGTAAAGGGTATGAGGTTTAGGGTTGAGGGTATAGGGTTTAGGGTTGTTGTTGTGTCATGGCTATTTGAGGGCCTAGGGTTTGGGTGCTGAGCTGAGCGTTGAGGGTCTCAAGTTTAGGGTTTGTAGTAAACCCTAAACCCTAAACCCTAAACCCTAAACCCTAAACCCTAAGCCCTAAACCCTAAACCCTAAACCCTAAACCCTAAACCTTTATAATGCCCGCAATCTGAAGCCCTCGGGTTCCTCTTCTAGTCTTCCCCTCAACTAAGTCTGCCTTTGATAAACAAAAACCCTGTTCAGCCTTAAGCCCAATAAGGGAAAACACGAAGAACCTACACCTTCTGGAGCGCAGCAGACGTCAGGCGCAAGGTGCCGCTTTGAACTTTGATCTGCTCCGGACAAATCCGAACGAACCTTAAAGCTTAAGCCTTCAAGACAGAACTCTTCGATCCGGCTCGTCGAAATATACAGACTATGCTTACTCTCCTCGTGGGAATCTAGGGGGTGTTCTGAACAAGAGTGGACTTCAGGGGTGCTAGAGTTTCGGGCGTCAACCCCTCTTTCCGTGCCGGCCTGAAAACTGAACCAGCTGGATTTCCCCATCCTGAATAGAGTTACCTATAGAGCAAGGCCTTTGCTGTCCTAGACTAGAGGCCGACTCACTGGAAGTCTAGTCAGAGTCTAGTCTGCGTAATGATAACTGAATTCAAGGGGCCCTTAGCTAATATAAGGGTCTTAATAATTAGAAGAGGGTTTTGGGTTATAGTATACTCTAACTGCTATAACTACAACTACAGCAACGAACCGCAAACATAGTATTGGTAACTATTTCGGCTCCTATATTGCATTGGTCCCCCGCCCAGGCCCTCACAGGGGCTTAGGGATGCAGCTTCTGTGGTTCGTGCGGGTCGTGACCTGGTCAAGTTCTGTAAGTGTACACTCGTTGAGTCACTGAAGCACCCACGTACCTACAGACATGCATACGAGTACACACATACTTCTAATATATAGATATACATGTATACACCTACACCATTAGTATACTTGCACGTATATTTTTCTTGAATAAAGCTATGATAGTATGAAGAACGTGTGTTCCAATCACCTTTTCCTAAAACCCTTACGGGGCCTGCACGAAGCTGTCGGCGAAGCCCTGGAAGGTGGAATCGAACTCGGATGTGAAGCTGGCGGCCGTAGATCTCGCCGAACCCAGGTTCTCCTTCAGCTTAGCCTTGGCTTCGCATTCGCAGACCACGGTTAGGGGTTCGACTTGGTGCACTTCTTCAGAGTTCGGGTTTGGGGTTTAGGGTTTATGGATTCAGGGTGGTGGGCTTCAGGGCATGGGGGACAGGATTGATTTGTGTGTCGCGATGGCGCTGCGGGCTGGCTTATGGAGAGCGCGCCTTCAGAGGTGTTAGCGACTGCGGTGGAATGCCCGTACGGTGACCGTGCAACATTGACTCACTCGTTCGTCTTACTCAGTGGGTCTTCTTTCACTTTACCACATTTCGTGTGAGCATTGCAGTGCCGTGGCATTCCGTAGCCTGCCGTTTGAATCGATTTATTCAGCCAGCCTTCACCAGCTTCGCTTCATTCGACTTCATTTCGTTTCACCTCATGTAGTTTCACTCCGTCTCACCGTCACATGGCCTTCATTCCTTGGTTCGCTCCATCTTTCCATATTGCCTCAGACTTGAACCACGTGGGTCAGTCACTTGCTGCATATATGCGGTCTACATCAAGGTAGTTGTCAGGGTCCCCTGAATTTTGGGGACCCTAAACGCGACCCCTGAACCCTAAACCGTCAACCCTACTCCCAAGATTCTTTGCCTTGATCCTTGCACCTCAGCCCTATGCCACCGAGCCCTTTTCGGCATGGGCCCACCTGCCATAACTGACCCAGGTTTGATCTTGCAGAGGTGGCATGACTTTTTTTGACCATAGCAAGCTCATCGTGATCCAGTTGACTGACACAGACTTGCAGAACCCAGGCACTACTCAGCATGGCTGACATGATAGCCCCACTGTACAATATCAAAAGTATGCCCCTAAACCCTAAAAACCACCTGCAGACTCCTGAGCCCGAAACCGCATCCGCACTCTCCTGGGCGCAAATCCCAAGCCCTCCATCCTTATAACTTGTAGAACCCTTTTTGCATCGGGCCTTTACCACCGCCCGGTAATCCCCACATGTAGAACCCTAAACCCTAAACCCCAGATCCCCATAACTTCTAGAACCCAAAACCCTGAACAATGGTGGAACTTAGAAGCTGCCCCCACCCCGTAATAGTAACCATAAGGATTATATAGGATTATATTAGGGCCCTATTATATTCCTATTATACCCCTATTACAGGCTGGGGGCAGCTTCTAAGGTGGAGCGCTAAACCCGCAACTCGCTTGGGGCCAAGTCTCCAGGGTCGGTGCCAAGTTCTCCTCGGAAGCCTTGAACCCGTGAAGGGCTTCAAGGGTAGTTCTCAAAATTGTGGTCCTTGTTTGGGTCCTTAGTATAATACACCCAAAGTCCCCCCTAAATGGGAGTTTCGGAAAATTAGGGGTACCTTATTTTGGGTCACTTAGAAGAAGGATCCTACGATTTCGGGTACTATGTTAGGGTCCCCTATATCCGGAAACTCCCTTATGGCTTTAGGGGTTTTGGGACTTCGAGTTCCATGAGGGTTCAGGGTTCAGAGTTCCACAAATTGTAGGGAGTTTGGGGATAGGTCTTCGGGTTTGGGGATTAAGGGTTTAGGGTTTAGGGTTTAGGGTTTGGGGACTCAGTGACTTAGGGTTCATGGTGTCAGGGTTGCCGTTTAAGCTTTCCGGGCTTTAGGGTGTTTGGGGTTTAGGGCTTTCGGGTGTTTAAGGTCTTGAGGTTGTTGGGTGGCAGAGGATGGGGTTCGGAGTTTCGGATTTTGAGGATTGTCTTGGTGTTAAGGATGCAGGGTTTAGGTTTTGAAATTAGGATCTGGGGTTCAGAGGGAATCAGGATGCAGGTGCGACTTTAGCTTAACCCAAAGCCTCTGTAGAAACATAATCGCCTAAGCCCTTGCAGACCCCTGAAACCTAAACCGGAGTCTAGGCTCTATAATCTCCATTGTAGTTCCTTTTTTTGTGTTAAACCCATCTTGCATAATACAGTCCTGACCATCTTCCCATAAGCTCCACAGTAGTTCCTTTTGGGGGATCGAAAATATGGGAGTTTCCGAAAATAGGGGACCCGAATATGATATCTTAATTTTTTTTGGCTCCCACCTTAAATAGTAGTATCCTTATTAGAAGGGTTCCAAAATAAGGTACCCCTATTTTCGGAAACTCCCGTATGAGCCATGAGAAGGAACGTCACTACAATGGCACAAAGCAAAGGACAAAGGAGACGCGGCTCCGGTCTTCCTGCGAATTAAGGCCTCCGAACCCCGGGCTAGGGTGTATTTTTTGGGTTTAGGGGTTTGGGGTTTAGGGTTTCGGGTTTTGGGGGTTCAAGGGTCTAGGGTTTTGGGCTGAAGGGTTTAGGGTCCAGCGTTTAGGGTTTAGGGCTCAAAGGCCTGAGATTTCGGGCGGTTCAGGATACCCTGTACCCTACTTGGAGGGTCCTTAGGGGACCTAGTAACTGGCTATTTTAGGGACTTACAAGTACCATAACCCCAATTAGGGTCCCTTTTTAGGGTACTTATAAGTCTACTTACTACCTACTTACTAAGTCCCCTAAAGACCCTCCAAGCACTCTAAACCCTAAACCTAAACCCTATACCCATATAGAATCCCTGTAGGTCCCTTTAAAGGAACCCTAAAGGAACCCCTTATAGTTACTAAGTCCCCTAAAGACCCTCCAAGTAACCCTAAACCTCAAACCCAAAACCCTCCCTAAACCCGAAACCCTAAGCCGGAGTCGAGGGCCAACTCAGAATTCGAAAAGTCACGGGCACCTAGGGTTTAGGGTTTAGGGTTTAGGGTTTAGGGCTTAGAGTTTAGGGTTTAGGGTTTAGGGTTTAGGGCGAGGTCCGGCACTACTTGCCTAGGTATATGACCATACCCGGCCCTACCCACCGTAAGCAAACCGCAAACATTCGAGCAAAGTATCATCTTGAGTTTAGACAAGTAGGCTAAGGTGTCTACCAATCATTACAAACAGCCTCCCGAAAGCCCCACACCCAGAACCCAACCTCCTTGAGGTCTGTCAAGGTTGCTGCGGCCTTCTCCTGCCGTTGTCTTTCCAGTAAAAGCGGAAACTCTGCTTTGGGTCCCAGGGCAAGGACTCTTTCGGGCTAAGGCATCAGGATTTCGGCGCTCACACTCGAACAATCCAGGCGAGGAATGTGGTTCGGAGGCTGTTGAGTGAAACGCAACTAGATGGAGCTTCTCTTTCAGATCTAGTAATTCAATACGAGGATTTACGGGTGGTGGTTTGGGGCCTAGAAGAAGGTTCACGGCTTTGGGGTTTCAGGGAAGTCCCTGTTGTCTTAAGAGATCAAGTCAAGTGTATAAAGCCCGGTAGTCTTGCAAGACCGGGACCAAAAAGTTGATGTACTTAAGGTTTGTGTTTGAACCCGAACAGAACCCTTACAGGAACCTGCACAACTCCCTAGAAGAACCCTCACCCCGAAAAGAACCCTTCTCGAACCCACTCGTAGTGCCTCCTTCATTGTAGAGCCCAAACAAACACCAAACCACCCAAACCTTCGGACCTATTGAACACGGAAAGAGCCCTTCCTGAACTCCTCTAGAGAGCCTGCAAAACCCCAAAAACCCTTCAACAGCCTGTAGACACCAGAAAAAAAAACAGAAAACGCTGAACCCTACAAACCAATGAACCGTAAACACCATAAAACACTGCCTGTCAATCGAAAAAAGCAGGAAAACAACACAGCTCCTTGAGGTTGGTGAGGTAATCAACAGCTGACTTAGCCTCGAGATCTGCCGCCGTTGGTTTGGGGCTGCTTTCTGGCGCTTTTGTTGAAAAAATGCTGATAGGGTTTAGGGTTTGAGGCTTCGACGCTCACACTCGCACTCGGCAGGCAAGGCGTTGTTGAGATACTTTGGACTATGTAGGCTTTGAGGTTTAGGGTTTAGGGTTCTGTAGGGATAATATTTTAGCAGGGTTCTGTAAGGGTCTAGGTTCTAATTCGGTTTTAAAGCGGTTTAGCGTTCAGGGTTCTTAAAGGCTTAGGGTTGATGTTTTAAAAAAAGTTCTGTGAGGGTCGAGGCTTTGCTAGGATTTGAACTTGTCTAGGATGCAGGGTTTGGTTCTGTAAGGCTCTACAAAAGGCTCTCAACGGTATAGTAAGGTTCAGGTTTGAGCGTTTGGGGAAGTTTGGTGCTTCAAACTCTGGGGAGATGGCCTCTTACGGCTCAACTTAGGGTTGTACGAAGCTGGGAAAGTCTTTGCTGTGCCCGTTTCAGCAAGGCTTGTCTGGAGCTCGCCCGGCCAGCAGTGTCATAAACCCTCATATAGGGGTCTTAATAATCCTTCATAGTTAGAGTAGGGTTTGGCGGTGTATCATACTCTAACTATAGTAAGGAACCACCACAAAATAGTGAAGGTAACTATTAAAGCCCATATTAAACCCTAAACTGCACGAGTTCGGAGTTCATGCATCTTCACGGCCCCTGGTTGCTCAGTTCTTCGGGTGTGTGCTCAGAGCTTGTCGGTTGCGGAGCTGCCGAGAAAGCCCCTAACCAGGACCCTCCTTGTGCCCTCAGATAGGGGTATACGGCCCCAAATAATGGGCGTTAAGGGTCGAATAGAGGGTAAATGAAGGGTCTAGGAAAGGCCCAAAAGATTCACTAACAAAGGCTCTACTGTTCTGCAAAACCGTAGGATTACAAAAGAGACCCCGACAACGTGAAGCCTTCCGACTCTCGACTCTAGACCACAGTCAAGAAAACTTTCCAGAGGCCCTCAGTCATCAATCTGTCTCTCTCTATCTCTCTCTCTCTCTCTCTCTCTCTTCCCCTTCAACCCCAAATCCTTTTTCAGCATGGACTGGGGTGCCGGCCAGCGCCTACGGAACTCTCAGCCCCCTTTCAAGGCAAGCGCTCGCAGGAACCCTGGAGCCTAACCTTCCTCCACTGGACCCCACACCCCAAAAAGCTTCCAATCCCCTACTGCAGGAGCCTTGATAATTTAATTAAAATAGTGTTTTGGGGCCCAGAACAAAAAACACGAACCCCCCAACATAGTCTAGGTAATTATTTCGGCCCCTATATACTACACCCTCCATAATACCCCTTATAGTAATCCCTATCCCTCAATAAGGAACCCTAAGGCCCCTGAAAAAGGAACCCTAAGGCCCCTGAACCCTGAACCATCACCACTCAACAAGCCGTGTGGCGCAAGCTGTGAGCTTCTCGGCCTCGTCATGGAGGCCAATGGGCTTCAGGAGGGTCCTGGGCCGCGGAGATCAGTTTCGGCGTTTAGAGATTTCGGGTTCTAGGACTTAGGGCGTCGGGTTTGGGGCTTAAGGCCATTGTACGAGGGCTTTAGGGGTTTATGGGTATCAAAGGTTGCCTCTAGATTTTGTCTTGCTGCATGGCTTTCTACAGTTGACGGAGCCCTAAACCCTAAACCCCTAAACCCTAACTAACTTTATGCAGGGGCCGCAGTCCTTAAACCGGGTTGGGTGGCTTTCCTACTATAAAGATATGGGGGTTTCCGAACATAGGGGACCCTAACAGTGTACCCTAAATAGTGGGATCCTTATTATAAGGATCCCAAAATGAGGTACCCCTATTTTCGGAACCTCCCATATCAGGGAACTCCGAGGATGAGTGCTACTTTACGCAGGCCCCTGTAGTACGGCTCGGGGGCTTAGAGATGGGCTTACAGTAGTTTGAAGACTCGGTTCACGGCTTACAGGAGCGATAAGGTTTACCTTAACCTAGTAACCCACTTATTTAAGGACTTGTATAAAGAAGTCATATATTAGGGATCCCTAAAAAGGTAGGTTCCTTAGGGTCCAGGTAGGTCTGAGGGTTTAGGAATTACTGTAGCTGAAAGTGGATGTAGGATGTGGTGGGATTGCTGGATTCTGCCATCTGGCACAAGCAGCAGTACCACCGTTTCATGACCCAGCCGGGAAGAAAACCGGGAAGAAAATAGAACGCCATATGGGGAGAAGATTTGCGTTTACAAGCAGTTTTATGTACATCAACATGTGCTTAGGATTTAGTTTAGGTTCCATAGACACATTCGCACACTAATTACTCCGGCTTGTCACTACTACTGCTACTCCCTGCGGGACCAGATCTCCTTCTCCGATGACTTTACCGACAGCGTGGCTAGGTCTGCGTTTCCGTGGAGGTGGCTTGCGGATGGCTGCTGTAAACGCTTTCGGGACACTGCTTCTCTAGTTTACTGTGACTGCTTTGCCTTCTGCTCCCTGCTGTCTCAGCCTCTGTGTCCAGGGCTAAGGCTTAAAGGTCAGGATTTGGGGCTGTACTGTTATTTTTATAGGCTGCTAATACGCAAAAAGGTGCATCTTGTGTGTAATTCTCGAGCTTTCATATGCAACAGAAACGCGGATACTTGCTGCTGTCGAGTAGTGTATACTCGAATCCCTATAGGCCCAAAACTCGTAATGTGGATGTCATGTTCTTGCGCGCGCACGCTAGTGAGGCAGGGCTCGTTGCAGCGCTGAAGGCATTGGTCACCTGACAGGCTCGTTCATCGGGGTCCCTTATATAGTACCCTAATTAGTAGGATCCTTGTTATAAGGACCCTATAAAATAAGCTACCCCTAATTTTCGGAAACTCCCATGACAGGCGGGTTTACGCTCTCGCAACTCGGACAAGCCAGACGAGGTCCCGAACAGGCGGGTTTAGGGTTTGGGATTTCGGGCGAAGCATTATCTATACCCCTTTAGAACCATAATAATAAAAATGCAATGTTTAATATTCTGTTGGGTTTTAATGAACAAAAATGAAAAGAATCCTCAGGAGACTTTTGCTATGGTCGTGAGAAGCTGATGAGAGCGAACACGCCCTGAGGATTCTCGAAACGTGCCCTTATATGATCACACTCATCGGGGCCTTTTACCGAAGATGCACAGCATCGTATAGGAATACTGAGGAATAACATCCCGGATCATCGACCCTAGGAAGAAATAGTATAACCTGCCAAAACACTCACGATTCTACTTATTCAGGCCGCTACTGTATGCGGACGGGGGGGGAGACCTTGGGTCAGACGGAAGCACCAACGGAAGTGAGCAAACCCCGGGCTTAGGTGCATGTGGTCTTGTGGATCGGGGCTACGGCTACCTACAACTGCGGCATGTCCCCGGACGCGAATGGACCCTGGCCACGGTCAGACCGTGCTTTGTGCTCAGGAAGTCCCTGCGGTACTATCTCTAAAGTCACTCTAAAAGGGTTTAGGGCTTAGGGATTAGGGGGAGTCGTAGCCGGCGTCACAAGCGCTTAGTACTCAATACCTTTGGCAATCGCCCCACGCGGAAGGCACCTGTTCAGAGATGGTCTTGTAGAGCGGCATCAGCGCACCCACGGTTTCGTCCGCAAGCTTCTTGACCCTGAGCGATTGAGGACATTTCGGTTTCACCATGAACCCCTAATTATGAAAAAAGGCTGCACCCGGATGCCCCAAATCCGGTAGCCTAAGTTACTGATCTCTCAGCAGTCTGAGCCAGTGATAAACCCTCTAAGCGTAAACCCTAAACGGTAAACTCTAAGCCCCTACTGCAAAAATTCAAAGCTAGGCAATACCGCCATAGGCACAACGGTTGATGATATAAATCCTGCATTACCCTCAATAAGGAATATACCATAATTCCCATAGTTTCGGGTAGTTAAGGTAGTGCAGGATTTATATCATCAACAGCAGCATGCAACCCCGAAGTCTCAAACTGCTTTTGCCCGAGACGCCTGCCGTAACATAAGGGGCTCGATGACTAATTAGTATAAAGTTTCGACGGTATGCTTGACTACTGTACGTCTTACTGTAATTTAAGGGCTTGAATAATTAAGTATGATAAAGTTTCGAGAGTATATCGGTATAACGTCCTCTTGGGTTTTTACGAGTAATCAGGAACCCTCGGAAATGGTGTCACTAATTGTTCAGGCTCCCACAAGACGATGAATCTCAGAGACTGGTAAAGAAACGTCTTCCTCAACTTGGGACAGGGCTTCGTGCTTTCCATAAGCCCTCACCGATACAGAATCAGGTAGAATCTCTAAACAACAATTCTTGACTAGGCCCCAAATCCCGTTTCGGCTGGTGGGCTTCGGGCTTATCGGCGTCAACTTGAACCTTTGAGCCTTCGCCCTGAAAAGCCATGTTGATGATGGGGTTGGGGGTTTCGGGGTTCAGGGAACCTAAAGCCTAAACCCTAAACGGTTATGGTTTAGAGATGCTACGGATCCTTCAAAATGGGTCGTCCTCTATATCAGGGTCCCTGTTGAGATCTTGTTATACGGGTACCCTCGTATTTTGCGGGCCTGCGCAGGACAGTAATTCTTGATAATTAGGATGCAGGCCGGTAGGGTTTGGGGCTTCAGGGTATGGGGCTTAGAGCGGGGGTTGAGAAGTCTTCTCTTCATATTGTCACATGGAAATACAGTAGTACAGCGACCTAGTAATGCAAGAAGTACAGAAATGTGGTAATATAGCAGTGATATAATGCATTGCCCTTTGACAGTGAAGTTCAAGCTGCCTGACATCGGAGTCTCACAAAGGAGGAGACCCTCAGCCCTCAGCCCCCGCATATCCTTGCCCAAAAACCGTCAGAATCCTTACGACACCGAAATAGAAAATAATTTTGTGGCTTAGCCCTTAGAGGGTTTTACGATTTTTTCTGAAACTAAAGGGCCTTAGGAGCAACTCTCTCTTGTGAAGCAGGGCTGTGTAGCCTGTCGAGCCTACCCTGAGAATTAGACGAGGGTCCACGTAAAGCCACGGTTCTACATTAAATGATAACAACGCTTGCCATGCGGGTTCCAGGGACGCACTGCTGTTTGTGGCGGCTGTATGGCAGAATCGAGAGCCGACTCCGCAGAACTCGTGACAGAACTCGGACTTAAAAATTTGAAACTCTCGTTGAGGGTTAAGGGTGACACTGACCTGCTGCGACAAGAAGCCGCTTACGGTAGAAAGTATCGGTGTCATTGGGGGGCTTCCTGCAGAACTGGTCAATCGTTCAAAGAGTGCCCAGAGTGTGCCTTCCTTCGGAAGGTGCACTTCGAGCATCTAGCGACGTACCTTATCGTGAAAAATATCAGAGCGATGGAGAGCATCACAATGCTGAAGAGAGCCGACCCGGGGAGGAGCTCATATGGGCTTAGTTGCCCTGGCTCCAAATCCTCCAAGTTCAGCGTCCAGAAAAACTGCTCAGACATCAGAGCTACAAAGACGAAGAGGAAGATTGCTGCTATGATGAGGAGGTTGACCACTATGTCGCAAAGGACGCAGCTGCGTCGGCGTTGCAATAGGCAGGACAGTCTGACAGTGAGCAAAACTACCACAGGTACCACACCAAAGGCCCAGCCAAGACCTCTGACGAACTCGCGGATGGCTCCGAAAAGAGGCCTCTCACCAATTCCTATGTAATGGTAGTGCGCCGATGCGGCTGCGTCCATGTAATGCCAAAACATGGGCAGTGCTGAGACCGCGATCTGATTGTACGTGAAAACCTCTCTGGAAAGCTGGTCTTGAAGACATTGCAGAACATCTGTCCGCACATGGGATTCGAAACGCTCCACACTGCCGAACCAAGTTGTGATGCACTGGAGAATGACACGGCGATCACAGACCATCTGGGCCCCAGTCGAAGATACATGACCCACAGTGCAGCAGTGGGATATGCTGTCGCTGACGACAAACTTGCCGATATTTTGCAACAGCTCCTGCACATAACGGAAGTACGCTCGTACTTTCATCACGCTGAAGAAGAAGAATATTAAAATGAAAAGCCCAATTAACGGCCACAAAACGAAATACCGCAGCCGGTATGGATCGGCCCCTTGAAGGACCCTTTCGTCGGGGATGAAGCTCATCGGGAGCATCACAAAGGATAAAGCAATCGGCATGGACATTAAGCAGGGGCCCAACAAGGTTGGCCTGATGGTCAGCTTTACCTTTCTCCCATCGACATGACAACTATGCAAGAATGCTGCGAGCTCAAAGACACACCAGAGGCGGCGGCTCCATGATGGATCCCACAAGATAACTAGAGAATCGGAGGCCCTGAGCAATGCACCCATGCTGGCCAGCCCGAGTGCCTTGCGTCTCGCGTTGACCTGATCGATGCACAAGACATCCAGGAATATCTTCTGCCGGGGCGTCCAGAAGAACAAGGCCACGAAGTACACGACCAAGCAAATGACCCGGATCCAATACGAATGCATTGGATAAAACCGTGTGCCCCTGACTAGTTGAAGAGTTGGCAATATGCGGTAGGCATGAAGAAACATCAAAAGAAACGAAACCAGGGTCGCCACCAGTGCTGCTTTCATGCCATTGTTCACAAATATAGCTGTCATAGCTTTGTTCCACTTTGGGCCGTGCCAACTGTGACTCCAAAATTGGTCTATCTTTGTCGTCTCGAAGCTCACTCGACGATGCCATGTTGATGCTCCTTTCCGAGCCCGAAAAACGTGGCCGAATCTCCTCACGGCGTGGTAAGCATGGACGGCTTGGATTATGTCTGGGCAGAACGCCTCCATTCCGGCAATCAGCTGGGCCACAACTACTTCGCCCTGCTCGGCACTGAGACTGGCCTGGATATCCTTCTCGGAGGACGTAGAGGACTGCTCTCCCCCATCGCTTTCCTGGCTGTTGCGACCATCACCCGAAGACTCCTCGCTGGCTATAACAGATTCCACCATGCAGGGCTGCATGTGCACGGAAGGAATATTTACTTCAGTATGCGAAAGGGCATCATCTATTGCTGGCGCACGCTCGTCTGGTACAGCCTCCGAGTACTCGCAGAGCTCATCTTCGGGCGAATTGGACCACATGTCTGCGAAGGTGAAACACGGTGCTAGATCCGAAAAAAGCTACGCATGCGCGGCCCTTATACCTGCTACGCCTTTGGTAGATAGATAACTGTCAGACCAGCGGGTTACGGGAAGATCATGCGCAAAGCTCCAGAGCTGAAACAGGATCTGACAAGTTCTCAGAAGCAGGGTCGGCGCTGCTCTTGAGCCAAGAACCATGTTGATGTTTGGGGTTGGGGTTGCGGAGTAGAGGGCTTTTCAGTGGGCCATGCCTCCAGATCTGCCACTTGTTGGGAGCTGCCACAAGAGGGCTTAGGGCCTAGGGTACGCGATGGAAAGCCCTGAAGCCTGAACGCGATGAACCGGGAACCACAGCCTCGTGATGTTCTCAGCGATGGTGGCATTCATCTTCATTGCCACACGGAACACCTCAATGCTTCAACTTCAACTAGCCATGTGATGCAGAAACTTCGGCACGCAGACTCTCTCAGCGAGTGGCTGTGCTTGTGGCTTCGGGTCTTCTGGAGTCTGACAGTGCAAAATCAAGAACTCACACACTACCTCCGCCGCCCGCACCACCACCACCATCAACAACAACCACCACCACCACCACCACCCCACCACCACCACCACCACCACCACCACCACCACCAACAACAACAACAACAACAAACCAACCAAGCAACCAAGCAAGTAACTAGGCAACCAACACCACAACCACAACCACAGAGACAGCGACAGGCGACAGCAGCAGCAGCAGCAGCAGCAGCAAGAGCAACAGCAACGGCAAAAGCAGCAACAGCAGCAGCAGCAGCAGCAGCAGCAGCAGCAGCAGCACCTCCACCACCACGACGATGGCAATTGCAACGCAAATTGCAGCAGCAACAAAGGCAATCGCATACACAATAGTCTTATCAAAGCATGTGACGATTATTTAAAGGACAAAGAGTACATGAACACCTCACCAACCACCAGGCGAACAAACAAACTAAAAAGATAGACTTTAAACAACCATGTTTGTTTTGCGTACCTGCTTGTGCTCACCCATCAGCAGCAACAAAAACAGACACGGCTGTCATGACACTGCAAACACGTCTCAAAACCCGAACACCAAACCCTTAGCTGCTGAGTTCACAAACCCCGAAAAGTGCACACTTTTATTTTTATAGTGGGTACTATTATCCCAAAAAGTGTAAAGCGTATCCACTCAGCTACTCAGAAACCTCTAAACCCTCGACCCCAAGATCCCTAACCCCTCAACCCGTAAGCCCCTCAAACCCCTAAAGCCCGTAGCCCCGCAACCCCTAAACCCTATACTATACCCTAAACCCCCTAAACCCAGAGCCCGTCAGAAACCCTATACTAAACCCTAAACCCGTTAAGCCCTATACTAAACCCCTTAATGGAACCTAAACCCATATAGAAGCCCTAAAGGAACCCTGAAAGGAACCCTGAACCCATATAGAACCCTAACAGGAACCCCTAAACCCCTATACTAAAACCCTTAAAGCAACCCCTAAAGCCCTATACTAAACCCTTAATGGAACCCTAAACCCATATAGAAGCCCTAAAGGAACCCTGAAAGGAACCCTCAACCCATGTAGAACCCTAACAGGAACCCCTAAAGCCCTGTACTAAAACCCTTGAAGGAACCCCTAAAGCCCTATACTAAAACCCTTAAAGCAACCCCTAAAGCCCTATACTAAAACCCTTGAAGGAACCCCTAACGCCCTATACTAAAACCCTTAAAGCAACCCCTAAAGCCCTATACTAAAACCCTTGAAGGAACCCCTAAAGCCCTATACTAGAACCCTTAAAGCAACCCCTAAAGCCCTATACTAAAACCCTTAAAGGAACTGCTAAAGCCCTATACTAGAACCCTTAAAGGAACCCCTAAAGCCCTATACTAAACCCGCCTAAGCCCCCCGAGCCTCCACGGAGTCATTGCACTTCGCCTGTAAGACCTGGGCTCTTGCAGCAAAACTTGAGAGCCCAATACCTCTTCGGTTTAGGGTTTAGGGTTTAGGGTTTAGTTACTAGACCTAAGAGTAAAGTAGGAATAAAAAGGGTGCCCTTTTTGGCTTGAAGGTGGTTTATAAGGGAATCTAAACCCTAAAAAAAGGAATAAGGGCCTACTCTGGGTCCTAGTACCTTTTAGTTAAGGAAAGCACCTTAAGTTATAGGGTATATCTTTTTTTGAACGCCTTTTTCCACCTCCGTACAGGGAGAATCCCATGTCTGAGAAGGGATTAGGACTTAGGGAAGTTATACCTTAACCCCAAATGACCTACCGTTTTAAGGACCTATATAAAGAAACAAATTAGAAAACCCTGGACAGGTAGGCTATATGGGGTCCAGGTAGTGCCTTAATCTTATGGTTTAAGGTATATTCCTTCATTGAGTATTGAGTTCTCGCAGCAAAGCCCTTCGCAACACAGGGTTTTTAAGGATTTGCTTGGAGGCCATGGGGACTTAGTAAGTCGGTTCTACGTAGGGTTATAACTGGGGCAATTCCATGTAGGTACTTGTAACTCTACTTGCTATGCCTCCTGGGCCACTGAGAACCCTTCACAACACAGGGTTCCTAAGGGTTGAGGGTGTGAGGGGGCTCAGAGCATAGTAGAGGGTTTGGGGTTTAATACAGGTATAGTATAGGGCTCAGGGTTTAGGGCTCAGTACAGGGTTTGGGGGGGTCAGGGCTAGAGGTTTTAAGGTGTAGTATAGGATTCAGGGTTCAAGGCCTTAGGGGTTGCGGGATTAGGGAGTTTAGTGAGTTTAAGGGTGCAGGGTTGAGGGTTTGGGAGTTTTGGGGGTTCCGGGAACTGCAGGCCGATCCTGGTTTACGGACGAGTATTGGCGTAAAGCTGTAAGGCTGCAAGGCTGCAAAGCGAACGTCAAATCATACAATGACTACCCAGGGACCCCAAAGTAGTTCCTTTTTGGGTAGTATATTAGAGTCACTAACCAAAAAAGAGGACCCACCCAAAAAAGGAACTACTTTGGGGCCCCTGGGTATTTATCCTGGGCAGAACATACAAGTTCTATTTGTCCTGGGCTTGCGGGCTTGGGGCTAGGGTTCAGGGTTTCGGGTATCGTGTATAGGGTGTTACAGATTCGAAGTTTGGGGTTCGGGGGCTTACGGGTTTAGGGTAGAGTGTACAGGGGGGACAGGGGTCTTGGCTACAACAAAGGATGCAGGGGCTTGGGGGTTGGGGGACTTAGTAACTGGTTATTTTAGGGACTTATAAGTACCATAACCCGAATTAGGGTCCCTTTTTAGGGTACTTATAAGCCTACTTACTACCTACTTACTAAGTCCCCCGACCCTCCAGGGGTTGGGGTTTAGGGTTTTTCGGGTTGGGGGGTTCAGGGTTTCGAGGTGTTTCGGCAGCTTAGGGTTCAGGGTACCCTTGTTGGTGTTTTTGAGCTCTAAATACGGAAGCACCACAATGAACCCTTCTGCAACCGCCCCCTCAAAATAAATAACAATAGAAAGACGGCCCTTAGCCCAGGACAGGGTAATGTAGTGGTTATGTGGGGGCCTTAATTATTAGAATAGGGTTTTGGGGCCCATTAATACAATAAGTGTAATAAAGCAACCCCCTAGAAATAGTATGGGTAATTTAGGCTCCCAAATTAAAACACAGGGTCCGAGGCGCTAGGACCTCGTTATCGGCTGCCTCAAGAGCATCGCCTGGATTCTCGATCTTTGGCTTTGGGTTTAGTGCTTAGGGTTTTAGGGTTTTAGTGCTTCGGGTTTAGGGTTTACGATCAGGCAAACCCCTCAGTTTGGCTGCTGGACAGGTGCTCGGGGCTGCTGGGTGCCTATTCCTCAATTTCTGAACCTTATATAGGTCTAAATCCTACTTGGAGGGTGGGGGGACTTAGTAAAGTAGGTAGTAAGTAGACTGATAAGTATCCTAAAAAGGGACCGTAATTGGGGTTATGGCACTTATAAGTCCCTAAAATAACCAGTTACTAAGTCCCCCAACCCTCCAAGTAACCTGGAAACCTAGAAAAAGCAGAAGTCAAGCTGCCAAGCTGATTGGTGACCTGATCAATGCCCTTGTTCGCGAAGTCCGTGACCTGCCAAGCCGGTACTTGGAGGTTCTTATGTCGTTAGAAGTAGGACCATACCTGCGGATCTTATAGCTACCTTACTTAAAACCCCATCTATAACTACTCATGAGCCTGCTGCAAGTAGCTAAATCGGACGCACCCCCGCTCCAGCACACCCACAATCAACCACAAAAATGAAGACTGAAATCGACAATGTTGGTAGTCACGGTCGTCGTGATCGTCGTAGTGGTCGTGCTAGTACTCGAACTAGAACTCATACTGGTAGTGGCACCAAGACTAATACCAGCTTTCTAAGTTCTAGGTACTAAGTCGTACTGGTACTGATCCCTAAACCAAGTAGTCGTAGTCGTAGTCGATGTAGTCGATGTAGTCGTAGTGGTAGTGGTAGTGGTAGTAGTGGTAGTAGTGGTAGTCGTGGTGGTAGTAGTAGTAGTAGTAGTAGTAGTAGTAGCAGTAGCAGTAGCAGTAGCAGTAGCGGTAGCAGTAGCAGTAGCAGCAGTAGTAGCAGTAGTAGTGGTGGTAGTAGTAGCAGCAGTAGCAGTAGCAGCAGCAGCAGCAGCAGGAGGAGGAGGAGTAGTAGTAGTAGTAGTAGTAGTAGGAGTTGGGGTAGGGGTCGGAGTGGGAGGAGTAGGAGTAGCAGTAGCAGTAGCAGTCGCAGTAGCAGCAGGGGCAGCAGTAGGAGCAGAAAAAGGTAGCAGCAGTGGTGCTACTACTGTTTCTGCTGCTGCCACTGCTACTGCCACTGCCACTGCGACTGGGACTGCAACTGCCATAACGCCGACGACGAAGACGAGTACTACTACCACCACCACCACCACCAGCACTAGAACCAACACCGGCACCAGTACCCGCACCGTTCCACCATCTTCTTCCCAATACATAGAAACATCGGTGCAAGAACCGCCGGAAGACGAGTGCCTGGTCGGCGATGTTGCCCAAAGCATCCTAAGAAGGTCTCCCAACGGCTGAAGACACGTGCGGCCGGAGGGGCGGGAGGGGTGTGTCAAAATCGGGCGTTTTTCTCATAATTTAGGAGTTGTTCGAACAGTCTTGCTTTGTAGGGCACATATTGGGTCACTGCTATTGTAGTCTGTAGGAGTCTTTCGCATAGCCTTTCCTGTCAGCGTCCGTATTAGGCTAGTATTTTTGGAATTTTCCAAAAATTCTGACGGTTTAGGGGCTATACAGTACAATATCACTTGAGATTTAAGAGGTCTTTCGAGGAATCTTACGTGATGTTTAGGATCTATTCCTGGTGCTTCGGATCGTTTTAAAGTCATTCTGGGGCGGCTGAGACTCCGTCTTGGAGATGGGTTAGAAGGGGCCCCCACCCTGTAATAATGGTATAATGGGAATATAATACGGCCCTAATATAATCCTTATAGTCACTATTACAGGGTGGGGGCAGCTTCTAAGTGATACGTGCTACTGAACCAGACCAGCATAGCAATAAGCAACTACTTATAAAGAAGCCCTACTTTCGACCATACGAGTACTTTGGAACCTTCTCTAAACCTTACACCTTGAATTCTAAACCCTCAACGCCGTCCAATGCCCGTCAGACCCTGAGCCCTAAACCCCGACTTGGAAGATCACGGGATTTAGTTGCTCTTTCTTTCTAAGCGCGCAGGGATGTTTGCTCACCGGGACACAGTTTAGGGTTTCGGGTTAGGTAGGTTCTATTCTGACTTATTGGGGGGGGGTAGAATGAAGTGATGACCCTTCGCATAGAGGCCCCGCATGCCGCTGAAGCACCGACAATGCCACTAACACCCCAAAACTCCCAAACACTCCAAAAACAACCAAAGGGGTCAAGGCTGCAAAAAGTCGGAAACCCGAGCTCCTTCAGTGCGCCCAGGTCCGGGAAGTCGAGGTTGCCCTGCCTCGGGTTAGGCTTTGTTTTGTTTTGGGGGTTAAGGTTCAGGGTTGAGGGTTCAGGCTTTCGGTGTAGGGTTTAGGACAGAGGGCTTTGGGTTCAGGGTTTAAAGTTTCGGGTTTAACGTCCCTTCTCCGTCTGCAAGATCGGTTTGGGTCTAATTAGAGTTTCGGCACACGTCGCGATTTGTGCGTGTCATCCCTTCGCTGGGGCCACGTTAAACTTCTCTGTATCGCTCAGGCTTAGGGTTTCGACTCACACACTCGCACAAGGCAGTTTAGGGTTTAGGGTTGGCGGGTGATAATTTCAGGGCTCATAATTGCACCAGGGTTCTGCTTAAATGTGCTCTTTAAAAGAGCGTCTGTAAGGGTTCCATAGCAAGGGCTCGCTACAGGGGGCCTTAAGAATTGGAATCTGGTTGTGGGTATATTGTACAAAACTGATGGCTACAGTCCAAAAGACTTCCGACCCCACGAATATTGTTTATTTCCTACACATGTCAATGTAGGGGAAGATAATTGTAAGGTGTAGGATGCCGTTTTCGACTCTCGCACTTGCACCAGGCAGGAAAAGCTTCTCGACAAGTCTGGACAACACTGATTCAGAATTTGATTTCGGTGGGGTAAGAAAAGGCCTCAATACTTAGACAGAATAGGGTTTTGTGGTATATTATATTAAAATAGAACTATGACAAGGAACCCCCAAACAGTCTGGGTAGTTATTTAAGCCTTTACAGTAGGTTTCAAGATTTCGGTTGCAGCATCTTCAGGCTGCCTTCAGGGCGTTGCTGGGTTGGGCTCCGGAGTGGGTTCCGGGGGAGTCCAAGGCGAACCAGACCGGAATTTCAGAGGTTCGACTCAGGGGTGGTACGGGCAGGTTTAAGGCTCGGGGTTAGGGTTTGGGAGCTTTTATGCTCGCAGGGATGACTTCGACAGCTCTACTGGCGCCAAAACAGTGATGCTAGAGCTGCAGGGGTGGGCAATGCAGATACCTGGGCAATCTGGGACATGCAACTACGCAGTCTGAGGCTACGGAAGTCGGAGACTTCGGCTGGGCTTGGCTAACCGCGAAACGCACAAGACGCGAGGGATTCGAGGGGGCTGCTGGCTACGGCCTTCGTGAGCTCAGCCCCAAAACGACCTTCAGAAACACACTTGATACTCGAGGCTACAAACGAAACAACTCCGAAATGGCAAACCCAGAGACACTGAGTTTCGTAAGCCTCAAACACTTATCCTTAAATCCAACCAATCAACACACCGAAATGCCAGAAACTTTATATCCTAAGACGCCCAACCCTAAACACCTTGACCCTAACGTCTGAAAATCCAAGGTAGCCTAGGTTTCACAGTAGCCCCTGACTGCGTTAATGATAAGTGTACCCTTCTGGCCACTAATAAAGGAACCCAAAAAGAAAAAGGGGCAGAAGGGTACTACTCGGAGACCTTTTTTGAACCCGTACTGAGGCCGACTCGAAGACCTCGAACCTCCCAAACCTTTTCATCCCGAAGGCCCAAAAACGCCCAAAACCCTAGCCTAATCCCTAAGCCCTAAACCCAAAACCCTACCAAGAACAAGCTGCCCCTTGGCATCCTGTCCCTTGACGTCCTGTGTCTTCAGCTTCTCCTGGTGCTTCTATTTCTGGGGCTTTCGTGGCTTTGGGGGACTTTATAGGGTTTAGGATTTAGAGTTCAGGGTTTAGAGTTGGCCACAGGTTCAAAACAAACCAAGAACTGAACGTTTATATAGGGCCTCACGATGCCACGGGGCTTGGAGCCTTAAGGCAGGAGTTGGGCGTGTTTTCGGAAGGCCCGTAAACTCTAAACTCCCTTGCTTGAGCTGGGGTTTCCTTTAAGACAGGAAGGGCCAAGGGCTTCAGGTTTGAGGGGTAGGGTTTGGGTTTAGGGTTTAGGGTTTCGAAGGCATAAAGAGTTTAGGATAGAAAGCATACGATTACTCGTCATGCAGCATCAGCAATGTTTTGGCTACCCGTCACGCACCGCCACAAGCCCAATGTGACTGTTCATGCACGCTCCCGACACCTGATCCTAGGGCCCAAACTCCAATTCTATAAGGCCTTGATGGCCCTTAATGATCAGAATAGGGCTTTCGGTAATATTGAATTCTGGCATGCTTATATGTAAGAACGACAAGCGGGTACTCGTCCAATTTTATACGGACATCTACATCACAAAAGCCCTCGCGAACTCCTTGAGCTTAGAGCCAAGAAACCTTCTCAAACCTTTTCAAAAGATATTCGCCCCTCCTCCCTAAACCCTAAACCCCAAATCCTATACCCTAAACCCTCTCTACCCTAAACCCTATACCCTTTCTGAACCCAGACTCTGCTGATCAGCTGGGAAGCAGCACTGCCAAACTAAGTCCGGGCAGCGCCGCCTGCCCTAAACCCTAGACCCCAACCCCTAAATAGCCTAAACCCAAAAACTAAACCCCACACCCTAAATAGCCTAAACCCAAAAACCAGACCAAAAACACCCTAAACCCTAAACCCCTTTTTCTCCGAAAACCAGACCAAACCCTAAACCCTAAACCCTTTTTTTCTACCAAAAGCCAAAGGTCCTGCAGGAGCGCCACGTCATCTGCCTGGCACGCGGAAGTGTCCGCGCCGGCCGCCACAATCAATGCCAAGGGAAGCAGCTTCCTGGGTGTTTAAAGGGCTCTATGTCAGGGTTACCTTAAGGGATACTATAAGGCTCTATGTCAGGGTTACTATAAGGGAAACTATAAGGGCTGTATAAGGACCCAGGAACCTCCAAGTATGGTATGCTTCAAGGGTCGGGGGACTTAGTAACTGGCTATTTGAAGGACTTATAAGTAGCATAACCCCAATTAGGGTCCCTTTTAGGGTACTTATAAGTTTACTTACCTCCGATCCTGCAAGTAAGGGATACTATAAGGGCTGTATAAAGACCCATGAACCTCCAAGTATGGTCTGGGCCATAGCCAAGTTGCAAGATCGACATCGCAGCAGGGACGAGGCGAAAGCCGGGAAATGCCAGGAACGGAGTGGGTTCAGTCGAGCTCCAATGGCTGAGGGACCGACGAGCTTGAGTGCGAGAGCACAGAAGGTTTAGGGTTTTGAAAGGAGGGTTTAGGGCTTTAGGGTTTAGGGTTGAGGGTTTCAGAAGCCGAGGCAGACAAGACATTTTATAGCAACAGCCAACCACGACCACGACAACAACCACCATGAGGGTGAGGGCGAAGTCGACGACAGCAACACTAAAGTCTGCATGACAAAGTACAACAAAGCACATCCGAACCTGCACGTTTACACGGGGCTAAGGGTATTACAGGCCTCTTGGGCCCCTTCGCCCGGCAAAGGACTGTGAGCTCCTTCCATCGTGTAAGGCCTTTCCCGACCGGATCGATTGCCCGTGCTTCGCAGGAGTTCGAAAGCATGAGTTAACCAGAACAAGGCAGACAACGCTCTAAAAAAGGGAAAACTCCTAGAGCAACCCCTGATAAGAAGGGTTACGAAGCAACGGTGAACTAATAACAACATGCCTGGCGTTTTACAGCCTGGTTTCGTACAGTGCATTTCAGCTTTCCAACTAACACTATCCTCTCTATCAACACACAGCTTCAATATGCAACATATATATATATATATATGCTCACCCCCCCCGTTGACAGACCATGCCCTTGTGATAGTGTACTCTCGTTCGGTGACTAGGCTGAGATATTGTATCTAAACACACCACACACACACACACACACCACACATGACGACAATCTGTAAAGCAAATCCTTTACAGTTCATATACCAAGTATACTTTTAACATGCCATGTACTGAGGACGCATGGACCAGACGCGCGACACGTGAGTTATGAGTTTTGTGGTAGCATTGATATAGGATGAGTATGAGTATTAATATTGGTATTAGTATTAGTATCAGCAATAGTATTAGTGCTTACTGTAAGTATATATGTGTTTGTATATATCGACAGTAGTAAGTATACATTAATGTTAGTGCTCATCTTCGTTTTGGTCTTAGTGTTAGTGCCAGTAATAGTACCACTGCTAGTATTAGTATCAGTCTTCATGCTGGGTTTACTATCAGTTAATACTGGCAGAGGTGCTAGTATTGGTATCAGAATTAGAGTTAGTTTCGATCTGTTACTATTCTGATAGTTTCGTATATCAGCAGGTTAGTATATCAATGTATTGATGTGTTCGAGAGGCAACTTATTTGTATACTTGCATATTCGTAGATTTAATACTTTAGTACAACTGATGCATGAGTAAACTAGTATATTGCTGTATTAATATATTAGTATATTAACATACCAGTATATTCGTACATTAGTGTATTAGTATACTAGTATATGCAATATACGTGTATTGTCTAAAGATTTTTAAGTGTATCAGTATGTTGTCATGTTAGTACATCAGTACATGAATGCATTGATACATATCGGCATCTTAAGATAATGGTATGTGTTCTGGTGTGCATTAGCATGTGCACGTGTCTTTTGTAATGGTATTAGTCTTCACATCAATGTGAATATGACTATTGGTATTCGTAGGAGTATTAATGTTAATATTCGTATTAGGATTATCCATAGTCGCATAAGCCTTAGTATAAGTGTTAATAATGGTATTAATACTGGCATTATCTTGACTATTCAACAAGTTATCAATGTCAGTATTCGTATTGGTGACAGCATTACTGTTAACAGCATAAGAGTATACGCAGTAGTATCCGTAGGAGTATCAATACTTATATAAATCTTGGTGTTGGTATAAACAGTGTGATTGGTATTAGTAATAGTGCTAGTGCTAGTGCTAATATTAAAATGAGGTTATGTATTCGCATGAACGTTTGTCTTATATTAGTATTACTCCTGATTACATGAAAATACTAACAGATAAATACATGCATGAGCTAATGTATTTGTACTTTAATATAGTGGTATGTATATTTATGTACATTGGTATATGCAGGTGTGTATTAGTATTGGCATTAAAATACACTACTACCAATATGGGCATAATTATTGATATGCGTAGGAGTATGAACGTCAGTATTAATCATTATTAGTATTTTTATGGTGCCTATTCGTATTGGCTTAAAAAAGTGTAAATATTAGTGTTAATGCTGGTATTAGCTTGGGCAGTCAGCAAATGATCAATGTCAGTATTAGTATTGGTAATAGTATTCGTAGGAGTACCAATGTAAAAAAACAATATATATATATATATATATATATATATGTAAACACTGACAATCGTCTAAACAGACCTTGCCTTTGCAAGTGAGTCGTAGTGCATGGTCTGTCATCCGATGGGTCACAATCAGCCCGTTGAAAATCAATTCCAAAAGTTCCAAAATTTCCGAAATTTCCGACATTTCCGAAATTTCCTAAATTTCCAAAATTTCCAAAATTTCCGAAATTTCCGAAATTTCCAAAATTTCCAAAACGGCCCGACCTAGTCGACAGAATTTTTCCAAAACATAAGGGCTGACTTTTTGGAAATTTTGGAGATTTTGGAAATTTTGGAAATCCTGAAAGTTAGGGGAGATAATTTTGGAAATTTTGGAATTGAGTTTTTGAAAGCTGAGTGCCCCCTCCCCCCGATCACAGACCATGCGCTACGACCGAGTTGAAAGGGCATGGTGAGTGTCATGTAAGGCAACCACCTCGCCTTGTCTGTCATGGACTTGGCCGCACTCTCGATTTTGGCACCCAGAGTTTCCTTTCGAAGGACGACAGGCCCAAACCCCACCGGCTGAGTTTGGGACTTGGAGGTCTGGAGTTGCGTTTACTCACACACAACTTTGAAGACAGTACGAGGTTCAAGGCAACATTGAAGAAGTTTCCATCCAGAATTGCAGAATCGCGCGCGTTTATGGAAAAACCTTCCAAATTAAGACCCACGCCCTGTCTTGCTACTGGACTCGAGTCAAGCCAGACCAACCCCCTAAACCCTCCAACGCCCGGAAGCCCTGAATCTCTGAAACCCAACACTCTAAACCCTAACTCCAAGTAGAACCCTTAATTAGCGGAACCCCTAAACCAACCCTTATAATTAGGGGGAAAGACCTTCTGGTGCGCAATCTGCTAAAAGATCTAGTGAGGCAGCGTTTGCTGTCGAGAATCGCATGCTGAAAATCTTTTCTCCCCTTAAAGGGAGCCCTAACATCTAAACCCTGCACCCCAAGGGCAATCCGCAAAGGAACCCTAAACCGACTGTCGCCAAACATCATGGCCTGTTGGCCGGCAGGGAGCTTGCCTGTCACTGCCTGTGGCTCTGGTGCTGTAGGGTTTAGAGTTTAGGGGTTTGAGGCTTAAGGGTTTCGGGCTTAGTTTATTAACTCTTTCTTTTTTTTTCTCTCTCTCTCTCTCTCTATCTCTCTCTCTCTCTCTCTCTCTCTCTCTCTCTCTCTGATTTTTGTAAGGCTCCCGTGGGGTTGCGAGAAAAAGGCTACACAAGGGTTCCTTTAACGGTTGTTTAAGTGTGCTTCAAGACAGGCCCAGGGTTCATAGGGCTCCTGTCAGGATTTCTAGTCTATTTAGGTTCCTATGCCTATGAGGGACACTTTACGAGTATACTCTGAAGTTACTGTTATGTAAGGCTTGAGGAGGGTACTCTAGGATGCCTGGGCCCCGGATGCAGGATTCAGGACTGTCTTGGACCTATGATGACCTAGGATACTTTTAGGCCCGGGGTTTCGAATCTGACGTTCGGGCAAGGCAGGCCTTGACGAGGACCGGGTGTTAGGCTTGAGTTGAGTGTAAAATGGATTAGGATTTCAGGTTCAACACTTGGGCTCAGGGTTGAATGTAAGGGTTTAGGGTTTTTTTTGTGGATTTCGGGTTTAGGGTTTAGTCCAGGGTTTAGGGTTTAGGGTATCATGGATGTTTAGGGTTCATGGGCTTTTGGGTTACGGCTCAGAGGTTAGAGTTGTTGGCCTAGGGTTGAGACAAACTGCTGCATGATGTCACGTTGATCCCTCCCCAAATCTTCCAACAAACAACACATAGCTGCGGCGACTCGGGTACGGGGTTTAAGTTTTAGGTCTAGGGTTTCAGATATACGGTTTGCAGCGTGCCGCCAAGAAGGCAAACGGTTCGCCAAGAGTTCTATGAGTGCAGAAGCCCTACATCCCAAACCCCAGAACCCCGAACTCTAAGCAAATCACTCCTTCTCAATAGAGCCTCTAAAGAACCACGAAACCCTAAACTCGAAACCGAAAATCCTAAACCCTAAAGAACCATAGAAGCCCCGTAGTGGAATCCTCATAAAACCCTCCAAGTCTGACCTCAATCCCAGAAACCCCACGCCGCGAGCGACCCTCCCTTCTAGCACCCCCTGTGACTATATAAACCTCACCAGAACTCGTAGCAGCGGGACTGAGAATACTTATCGTAATGACAGAAAAGACCTAAGACTAGCAGTGATTAGTAACAGTACTACCCTAAACCCTAAACCTAGTACTTGTACCATCTGGGCTCTGGGCCTTCGTGAAGGAAGACACGAAGTCGCTGAAGGTTTCGTCAAACTTCCCTGCGAAGTCAGCTGCCGTGGTTTTGGCATCCTCGAGCTGGGTCGTCATCTTGTCCTGGGAGCTGGGGCTTTTTAATGTGTAGTGACTTTTCAGTCTGACCGAAGTCGGCTTACACACAAAAGACATCCACTGCTCTTCAGCTTCTGTCAAAAGGGCCTGCACTCAGAACTTGCTTTCTTCTTTGTTCATTAGTCCCATCATCTTGAGATTGTTTCCCTGAAGTGTCAGCACTTCCAGTCTCATCCTCAGCACTTTCATTTTGGGCCTGAGAGCTCCTCTCCATACCGTCATCATCTGCAACATCACCGTCCTCTTCATCCAGTTCAGGAGCCTTAGCAATCTCACCTGAGACACGACCATCTACCTCACGATCTAGGGTTTAGGGTTTAGGGCCCTCACGCAACCCAACAAAAGCTCAAACACCGACACACTGGAGGAGATCGCACTCATCA